GTTTCCACACAAATATGTAATGAACATGTCTATCAATGACTACACAATCTGATTACCGGAGTCCTTCAACGTTCTTCAAAATCTTGTGTAAATACGTAGATCGCCGATTCAAGGTAAGGACCAAGTTTACTTTCCAAAAGAAAAGATTCTATAGTGCACAAATAAACAGAATTACGTTTCTAAAGAAGATGGCGGCCTACGATAAATTGTCATCCTCCTATTCATATGCTGTTCAAGTTGTACATACGTACACATGTGCCAGACCATATTTTTAGGTTCATTTCCTCCCTGTGATTGTAACACTACGCACGTTTTCAAGCCAAAACTTGCCTTGCTTGGATGATACTCATTAAGTCAAAAATATTTCGGCAAGCATCTGTTAAAAAAATTAAATGACTGGTAGAAAGGGTATCCACTGAAGCAGTATTAATGCTTTTCTGGAATGGCAGAGCTAGACTTGCGCTGCGAATATTCTATAAATTACCAACTCGTGCGTATCAAGCAATTAATCTCCTATCGCGAGGGTTAGTTTCTCTATTGCAAATATGAGAACTCTTTTACAATTATTAAGAAATATTCTAAATATTCTTCCTATGTGTCGCATGGGAAAGCCCAAAGCGAAACGTTTCAATAGGTTGGAAATACAATATTTCCAACCTAGTCTCGTGTTGGCTTATTTTTACTTTTTGCGATGTTCTACTTAGAATTGATTAAATCATAATTGATTTACTACAAAAGTTGAGACAACTTAAGAGTTTTGGTTTACTGAAACTTTTGGTGTTAATTTGGATATGTACATTTTTACTCTTTCTTATTTTTGGAAAGAAAAGCGAGTTCGTACTTATTTATATCAGTGAAAGAAGGAATGACATGACTCCATCCAGGTTTGCTTTCCCTTTGTTGCTGGTGAAGCAAAAAAAGAAAATAAAGTGAAATGAATGACCATTGTGGTCCTGGGGTCCAACCAATATGCTCATTATTGCTCATATCACCACAGTCAATCTTACAACAGTTGGGACACAAAGACTGAAGCAAACAAAGGTCTTTAGGACAAAAAAAGTTATCTGGAGTAACTCGTGTATTTTTTTCGAGTGCTGGAGCGCAATCAGCGTTATACTTACTTTTCAATGAAATAAGAATTGGCTTTGGGTCGACTCGTATCGTGCAGGGAAACGTCAGGAAAAAAAGGCTCCGTTTTGTCCTTTCACTCTTGTTGCTCATGTTCCCTTTCACTTTACGTATGGCGTGGGATTAAAGGGAGAATCGGTTGTAGAGTGCAATTTCTATTATGTCGACTTGAGAGACACATTCTACTCGGAAAGCACTGCGAAAAGAAGAAAAAAAGTCATTTGGCATCTATTCAAGCGTGTCGAAGCATATAGCTTATACATATATTTTCAGCTTTAGAATCGTTGACTAATGTTACTTCCCCTCTGTGGAGAAAGTCTTCAAAACTTTGACGAGGTAATGATAGCATACGGAACTACATGTATACATAGATTGCAGCACCAACGCCGAGATCAGTTTTTTATCCTACTTTTTTATACAGGTTATTTTATTCCACAAATTAACAAGTATTTACTGAGCCTGCCAACTGTTCCTGCGAACAAAAAATCTTTCATTATCTCTGAATTTTAGAGCCGATTCATTCATTGTGAAGACTTTCTTTTATGTGCGAAAAATGTAAAACTTTTGTTTTTGGGGCATTATACGAATAGGTAGGCGTATAAGTGAAAGAAATGGTAGATTAATGCATATAATGCTTTCAAAGCGTTAGTGAGACTTGTTGAGCTGGGTGACCGAATTTATTTTTACTGGTAAAAGTTTTCGCGAAGATGTAAAGTTTTATATTTTTGAGAATTTTAGAAATTGTGCCTATTCTGCTGATTTATTATTAAGTTGGATATTTATTCTATGTACTTACACTTTATGAAAATTATTCATATCAAAAAAGAAGTATGTATGCAGAAACGTCAGTTTAAATGTATGACCTCAGGGATTGCTCATAAAATAACATGTATACATCTATTTATGTAGACATCGTGATAAAACATAATGAAATATCTCCGAGGCGAATTAACTAACGATCATCGTTGGTGAAACGTATTTCTTATTTTCGTAAATTATGCATTGTAGTTGGGAGTTAAGTAGAAACTGGTTTAGTCAAGAGCATCGTGCTTATCAACTAATGCTAATTGAATTAAATTTCGAAAGACGGGGTTGGGTCAAACTACTAAATTATTCGGAACGAGTTTTCGCTCTTGTTGAAGGGTTATTGATTATTCCACGGCTAACTTTCTCTCCAAGCAACATTGGCTGTCCCAAAGCTGCTTTAGACTGTGTTTGGCATCCTTTGGAGCGACGAACAATTAATAGAATGACGTGCCACAGCACATGTGTACATCCTGATACATATATTACTCCAGAGCCTAGATATATGCATAATAAGTTATTTGCCACTTACTCATCAGTCTTGTTGTTGTCGTTGTTGTTGGAAGCGTATAAAAACCCAATCCTCGGTTAAGTCCGTGTGGGATAATGTAGGTGACTAACTGGAGCACAAAGTGAAAGTATGTAACCATGCACCACGCCCCACTGCGGAATTCAATGTGTTGTTGTGACGTTTGAAAGGCCAATTTTAATGAATCAAATTTAGTGCATAATACAAAGGGATTGTACTCCGCCGCAAATTTCAACTTTGTACTCTGTACACATTCAAAAAATTCATAGAATAATTTGGTAGAATAATTTTCAATTTCAAAGCAGGGAAGCAAGCACGGGACTTTGCATGACATAGTAAACAAGTCCAAGTTTTAATTTACAACCGTCAAAAATGCTTGTGAAGAATGAACAAAGTGTAGATCAAACGCACAAAGCCAAACTCTCAAAGTACAAAAGTAAAGAAGAAAATAATGAGAAAATCGGAATAAGTTTGTTCATACGGCGTGGTAAAGTGGTAGTAAGTACTTGGATAGTGAAGGAAGAAGAGCCTGGTCGATTTTGCAAAGATTTCTCCCAACCCAGTTCTCCTGCTCCGTGTTTTCTTGGTGCGAAGCAACATTCGTTCGAGTCTGCATCACTGAGGATGAGAGAGACGAGAAGGTAGCCTACATACTACATACCTCGTTTTGGCGTAACTTAACGTATTCACATGACTGGTCCTCCCAATGCAAGACAGAAGGACTGACCAAAAGTGCCATCCTGTGGGTGTGAGCTCTTTTGACAACACTGGTGCATGTTATATTCGATATAAATGTGCCGTTGGCGAAAGAGAGAGAGAATCGTCTAACAAAATGTGAGCAGAGAGCATACATAGCACAAGAAGAACGAGAACACAAGAACCTCGAATGCAGACTGCTCTGGCTCCGAGTTGAACTTTTAAAGTGGAGTTTGCAAAGCAAAGCTGACGTCAAAAGCGAACACTCCACTTTCTCTGGCCGAGCACAATGCTATGCACGTGTGTGACGGAATAAGGCTCCGTGCAGTAGCAGTAGTTTGAATTTATTCTACTGCTTTACCAACTAAACTGTTTTACCTCTTGGTCGTACAGACATATAGGAGCCACAATATTCGTCTAAATATTACACTGACGGTCGTGGGGAAAGAATCTCGGCTTGAATATCCACGTTTTGTTTCTTAAAAAATATATATAGGATAAAGTTGTGAGTGGGTTGGTCGTATTATTCATTGGCATTCATTCTCTTATGTGTATCAACACCTGCTCCCTCATCGTCATAAAATAGTAAAATGGTAGTATATTTTCTGCAAGTGGTTGGTATGGGAGGCAGCCCATACTCTCACGTCGTCTCAGCCGAGGAATGGACGGGCATAACTTCTCATTGTGGCAAGGGAATGAATACGTGAGAAAAAAACCGTTAGCGTTTGAGCTTCTGACACAAGTAGTCGTGCAGTCGGTATGTTGTATTCTTTTGTCCCACGGTCGGTGGTGTGCTCCACCTGAGAACAAAGAACTAGCGAATATTCATCTGATGGTGTGGTGGTTGGGATGTGAATGTAACAAGCAAGTTTGGGTGAAAGTGCACAATGGGTGATTCACATAGAGCGAGCAGTAGACTGGCGGAAAATACCCGTTATATTACCTTAGCATGTTCCAAGCTGCTGAAAATCGTCGTAATTCCATTTCATAGTTCATGCACTCGTAGTCGTTGGGCTTCTATTCCTCCTTATGCAATCCTGAGTTAATTACTGCGAAATAAACTTGAATGATAATGACTGTGAAATTTTTATTTGCATGGTTCCACAAAATATTCCTAATGCTAGAAAACAAAGGGTACCCTGTATTGCTGTGTGTCCTACGTACATATATCCACATATTTATGTCATATATGCCAAATAAGAAATGCGAAAAATGTATTCTTTCAAGTCTTAATCATGTAATAATATTCAATCCAGCTACAAAAAATGAAATTTACTGCTACACAATAATTCATCCCGACAATAGCTCCTGAAAATTCATAGCCCATAAAACATGTTTGACAACTGGGTAATACTTGAGTAGATATTGTTTACATTTTGAGCGTCCTCCTCCTCCTTCGCCTCCTCCCTGACTATGACCTGTTTCTGTGAATGCATTTCCTCCATTGTGTGGAACCTGATGTAGGTTAGAGTTAGAAGGTGAAAGTCCTTTGGCTCTTCTTGGAGTGTAAGGCTCTCAACCAGGAGTTTAGCACACACGGCGTGCTTGGGGGTAAGACGGGAGAAATTTCTAATAATCTCAACTTGGTTGAGGAGACTTCGCAGGCAGGAGTCAGGTCTGGTTGTGGGATTGGAAGAGCAGTTGGTCGAGTTCAAACTGTGCAATGAAGTTTCAGCAGCCAGCCAGACTCCTCTTGTAAACGTGAATCAATACTAGTTTGTGTTGGTTGCGCTGTGCAGAACTGCGCACTGCAGGTCGGCCCTGTACTTTCATCTCGCTCTTTCTCCCAACCAAGCAACCTCCCAGCCATCCCGACTACACTACTTTCCTTGCATAAGTTATTCCACCAGTTTTCCCAGCCACTGGGCTCGCAGTTGTTTCTCTCACCAGCACCCCGCCGAACCTACCTCTCGCTTTCTCCTGCTCTCCCTCGGCCGTGCGAAATAAGCACGGAGCAGAGAAATAAGCACCTACTTAAATTGGTTATATACATTGGAGCAAGAGTGAGTAAACACCACCACGGTACACATATCCAAAGGAATTGATTGGTGCTGGCTAGCTTGGCTGGCATTGTTTCCTGCATTTATGGACACCTTGTACAATTGCTGGATAACTCATCATCTACAATAAATAAGCTGTAAAAATAAGATATATATTTATTTATTTATTTGTGTGTCGCCTGGTTGTGACGCTGTCGGTGTATGTGTGCGAGTGAGTCGAGGAAATCTCTCGTGTTCCCGTGTGTCCACTCCGTATAAATAAATATGTTGACTAGGAAGCCAGGAGGAGAAAGTCGTGTGTAATGCATGAGAAGTAATATTGGATTCTGCTGCTGGTACTGGATAGTCTCACCAGCCACAGATATCACATATATCGAACATATATGTGTGCATATACGGCAAAAATTTATGAGACATGACTTGTCATGGACATGTGTGCCCTTTGTTTAATGATACTTGGCAGTTTTGTATCAACCGAAAGGAAAATAAAATATATATTGGAGTTCAAGTGGAGGAAAAATGTTATGTGAGGACTGCAGCCAACGTTGTGTGTATCACTCAGGTGTAAATCAGTGCAGGTCTCGCCACTCACTGGATAACTTCATGGTCTCTAAATAACCACACACACAATGTAAAAGTCGCATTATCTGAGGAATGAAAAATTTCATCTTTAAATTCATACGGTAACAAGTTCATCTTTTCTGCAAAGAGATCTCTACATTCGAAATCCGGATTTTTTACCCGAGCTCCACAATTGTGATTCTCTTCTCTGCGGCGAAATCCTCTTCGCGAAAACATCCATGACAAGTGAGATGACGGGGGAAGAAGAAGAGAAAGCTCAACTATATACAAATTCTACTTACTTAGTCGACCGTATCTAAGGGGGATTTGGACTCGTTGACTTACAAACTTTCTCCAATGCGTACAACAATGCTTTTTTGAGTATTGGGTGGGCAGCTGCTTGTGCCAACGAGTTGGATTTAACGTGACAATTCCAGATACACTTTTTTCCCAACACTTTAAACTAATCTTGACAATTGAGCTATACCTACATCCATAAAACTGAATTAGTGCTGACAACTTTCCTCGACAATAATGGGAAAGTATTTGCGTTTCACCCGAAACAATGAGGACTAAACTTAGCTTCATAAAGTGGTTTCGCTCCTGCATACATCTGGTTTACATCGGTGTAGACTGACTTTAATGTGCAACTGTTGGTAGATAGTGAATTTATCTTGTGACAATAAAATATCAACCTTTTTTAACTTGTGCATAAAGCATTACATATCTATCTAAGTATTTCAGAAATAACTTTTTTTCCATATTTTTCCTAATCATTCATGAATTAGGGTCTAAAATAGTAATGGCTCAACAATCAGTATATTGAAGGTTCAGAGTGATACTCGTCTAATTACATATGCAATCTATAAATGATTGCAAGACTCCAACACAAGTGAAAGATTGTGTCAAGAACATTGAGTCAAAATTTGATGCACTGAAATAAGCGGACAAAAAATGATGCACTATAACAATTTACAACTTATTTAATACCAATTTCTCAATGATTAATATCATATCCATCACCGTGATCAAACAATTAGTGTCAGTTACTATTTATTACTTATGCAAATCATTTCCAGTGGTTCGAAGATATCAGTCACTGCTCCACGAATAAAATAATTGGTCTGTCAAAGTTTTGTAGAAAGGACTCAGTCGGAAGGAAGGACTCAGTTTGACAAAGAATTTGAGACGTTGGTTGCGGAGTAAGCCTTGCAAAATTTTGGCCGAGTAGTTGGGCAAAGTAGATTGAGTATTATTCTCCTTCCTCTTCTGGAAGGTAGTGAAACTTAGGAAATTGACATGAGAGATAATAGAGACGAGAAAGTTTAGAATTGAATTAATTCTGTCCTCCAAAGGAAATCATATTGAAATAAGTTCACGAATAAAGTTCAAATTTATTTTGTGATTGTGTGACGCATTTGTAATCTCTGCGGAAGTTGGTCGAATCCCCATAAAACGTGAGTGTCCTACTCTTTTAATTGCCAATTTTTATCAACCTTTATCCATTTAGTGACAATTCAGTCTTGTACAGTCTGTACTTCATAAATAGGTTGCGTGGTCAGTTTATTCTAACACAAATGTTTCGAATTTTCAAAATTCTTTGCAAAACTGAATTGTCACTTTGAAGTAAAGTAATGTTAAACCTTCTAGAAGGTAAAGAGGCATATCGTTCGCAAAATCAATCTCTGTTCTTTCAAACTATTATCATAATGCACCATAACATTTTCGGTCTTCTCGTATCACTCACTGTTCCTCTGTCTTGGTTTCCGACCACTTTGGTATTTATGTCAACATTGCAAAGTTGTTGATACAATGTATAATATTAAATATTAATACGACATGCACAAGTTAACACGAGAAATAACATGTGCAAATATGAAGTAGGTGTTTAGAAAATTAGAACGATGGGCATACTTCTGAGTACATTGGGAAACAATGAAAAAAGTGGCTTTGACAGTGTCACACATTTATCCCCTTTACTCGTCAGTTAGACGATGTCGAGAACTACAATGGTTTTTTGTATCATGAGCAGTGGCCATAAACTCCAATTTATGCCGTGCAATAAAACTTTATGCATCAGGTACTAAACAGACATATTTGCACAATGATCGTCTAATCTATAATATTTATGGGAGCAGAGAAACAAAAGCTTTCCACATAAGCTGGAGTTTATATGTTTTCCGTCATAATTTTGCTCCTCCTGGGTTCTCATTGTGCAAATAGAATCGGATCGATAGTGCTTAGAGTAGTGGTTGAGGAATCCTTGAAGAAATGATGTACACGGGCGGGTAATGTGCAGTAGGTCAGCTTGTTTTCCTTTGGTTTTGAACAAAATTAATGTGTGTGTGCTGGTTTGAACAGTGCTTTCCTCTTTTGTAAGTACTTTACGCTCCTGCCTCGTTTGAAGTATAACCTTGCATATTTTTTGTCACTGGAACGATTCTGTTTGTGTAGAATTCTCAGGAGTGCTTCACCTACATGCATCCACTCGTTCATAACTTGAACAGCATTTTCACACAATACAATTGATTGAGGAACTTGTACAGTTTAGAGTCCTTTGTGACATGTTTTGGTTGAGAAAAAATGGTTTACAAAAAGCCACTAAAAGTCTCGAACACATTGTACGTTCATGGGGATTTTCTATCATATGTATTTGGCCAACAGTGAGCATGAAACTTGATCCTACTTAATATCAAATGTCATGTCACTGCTATGCATTACACGGCGTTTAGATAATTTAGCATCGTTTTTATTGGTTCCATTCTGCTGAGCCTTTTCGTGCTTCCTGGTCCTCAAGATGCCATTTATGTTGTTCTGCCTGCCTCGGGTGTAGAGAGAACTGTTATTCAAGGCCTAATATAGAGAGGAAGGCGGAGAGAGCAGTTTATTGGAAGTCGCGAAAATTTCATGCTCTCCGAGTGTCAGGAAAGCAAGAAATGACAGCGCCCAGAGTAAATTGAAGAAATAGAAGCAGCTGGAACACTGGTAGATGAAAAGCACCTAACAGAGATCAAACATCTTCAAATGGATCTAAATTCCCTGATAGTAGGAGACGTTAAGTTAAGACGGCCTGGATTCTGGTGAAAGCGGCGAGAGTCTGGTATTGGATTTCCTCTCTGCGTATGTATACCGACTAGTCCATGAACAACCACCAGCACAAGAGCCGTAGTAGTAGTAGTAAGACGTACGTATGTAGTAGTAGTAGTAAAGTTGAGGTGGCAGCTAGGCATTCAAGAAATATGTAGCTCGTGTTATCCTGTGCTGCTGGATGGTTTCCTGTTGTAAGCCTTATCCGCAATGCTATCAAGATGGGTGGTGAATGCGAATGTTGCAGTGAGTCGAGTGGTCCTGTAGCATCAACTTTCAACTATTTTGGTGGAAATATTTTACTGTGCTGGAAAGAAAGGATTTATTGGACCTTATTTCGCAGTCTGGGTGCAACCATGAATCATTGGTTTCGTAGTTTTGTGCCCTCATCTCCACAACGTAATGTTTGGTGAAGGGAAAAAGTGAGCCGAGTTTGACGAAATGTGTGAATACGTTGAATGAGGATAGTTGAAAACGGTGGTGTCAAGTAAATGAGATATTTTATGTGTCAAAGAGGGGTCAATGAAGCATCAAATCAGTTGCAAGCTCTGTGCGAAATTTAACTCAAAATTTCTTCTCTCCTGTTGGACGCATCATTACTTACGATGACATCGGTGATAAAACTGCCTCCTTGAATGGATAAGAAAAGGACTTGTTGGTTATATTGATAGATAAAATGTGTATATACATACAAGGGTGGGTTAGTCACCCAATACAATTCACGGCAAAATCATATTTAGTTATTTGCAAGTTGAAGTGCTTTCACTTTCACGGCAGAAGGAAGTCACATTTCAGAAAATGCGTATTACATACGTATTATACATATAGACACAAATGTAGCTAGTCATTAGTATTTCTACAAATAGCATTTGTAGTGGACTTTGGAATACTGCTTTTTACGAACATTTTTCTTAGGTGAAGTCGACGACAATATCATACCCACAGTATTTTATTATTCTTGTGTTCACACTTTCCGAGCAATATTTTCTAGGGTTTATTTTATAGTTTATGCAGATCTCAATGATTTACATATGATGTATTGATGTATAAATATGTATTATGGTCTGTATTATTGTCATCCAGCAGTTGTTCTTTTATGCATTGACCGTTCACAAACCTTTATAATAAATATACGAGGATTCTTGAAAAATATGGTCCGCATTAAATATTGCGCGCCTAGAATTAAGACACATGTAATATAAAAAACCACACGATTCGTGGTAGGACAAAGTATTTCATAACAGTGATGGGGAAAAGTTCATGGCGTAAAGTGATTTTCAACATTGATGTGTAAAGAAAGTTTTTTGCTTGTGGAAACTTAATTCAATTCTCCACATACTTATGTCAAATGTAGAATGTATATGTGAAAAACTTTGCTACAAGAACCCACTCGTCAATTTTGAATGTATGTGTAGGTTGGTCGCTCATGGGCTAAATTTTGCTTTCACTATTCATTCTTTTCAACATGCACTTTCCTTCGCGTTCAAATATATGTATCAAAATATATCTATATCAAAAAGTGACGGAGACGAGCGATCACTAAACTGAGCCATAAGCAGGACGAACGTTATTATTAGAGAAAGGAGGTTCAGCGTGCAGATATGCTATCGTGACTGGTCTCAGAGCTTATACGGTTTGGCATAGATTTTTCAAACGAGTGTTTGCGAGCTCCAGCATCACTTTTGTATGCACCACATGAAATTCTTTTATGCGATGTGACGAACATCATGTAACTTTGCTTTAGAGGAAGGAAGAACCTCATTTATCTCTGCGAGGGCGAAATGCTGAGAAAGGGTCAGTGGATGATTGATGCACGATGCGAAGACGTAAAAGTGGTATTTATTACATCAGAGTCCCCGTCACTATAATGGATAAACGGTCTCTGGAAAATTGAATAGTGCGCAAGTTTGGCATCAAGTTCTATATAACATTTTGGTTAGCATATTTTTATATAAAACTTAAACTATGAGAAACGTCCTTTCTTGGAAACCTCAAATTCATGCCCGACTGTATGTGATCACCGATCTATCAATTAGTTTAATTTGAACGATAAATTAATATTGGCTCAATTATTCAAGAACTGGATCTTTGAACTCTGATTTATGAGGCTTCTTATTTCTAATAAATAAATACATTCGCGATTGTGCAACGGTTACAATTTAGATTATTACTTGCCGGCAAAATATTTGGATGATTTTGACTAATTTCGTCTTAAAATGCGTATCAAACCTAGGTTTTTACTTATGTGTTTTTACTTATGCATTTCATGGGCAAGATCGGTTAATCGGTTCGAATCTATGTACGTCGTACTGAGCTGTTTGAAATGCTTAACAAAAGTTAAAATTCGGAATTATGTATGTAATATCTGTAATTCAGTGAATGTAGGGCGACCCCACTAACCAGATAAGGTATGTATGCTTCCCATTTCGTCCGTAGTACGATCTCGATCTCTGCCTTCATAATTACGCTGAAATTTTGGTACTAAGCGATCAATTCACATAATATCATATTATTTTGGCTGATGTCAATCAAATGATTTCCAATTCTGTATGAGTAATTGTTAAGTTTTGTGCATTGGCCAGGAGAGTATTCCGTATGTAGTTATCTGCTGCACACCAGGTGCATAATTGATTTGATGAATCGGAAGACCATGCTGTCAGTTCAATAATTTGCAGTGTAGGACCTGCAAGGATAGGATTTGACATAATATTATTCTATGAGAGGAAATGTGCAAAAATAACTTGGGAGAGAACGAACGTGCAACGAGCTCGTGTCAATAGTAAGGTGTGGCTCCTTGGTTTCCTCCTTTACTGCTCTTTCCCCACCAGCTTTCAGTTAGCATGCCATCCTTGCTGCATGCCAGGAGTTCTGACTCCTGACATGGAAAGAAAAAGTGAAAGTTTTATATAAACTCTGTTCTGCGTGCCTCGATCTGACAGCCATCCGTTCGTTTAGCGAGAATTATTTGTCATTCTTTTCTCTAACTTTGACTCTCACACTTTGCCTTATTTTCAGATTTCACAATCAACTTATACAAATGGAGATTGTTCCAATTTTTCTTTTATTAATTAATCCTAGCAGTACTTTAGTTTTAAGTGTTAAATTCTTCAATTAACACGAGGCGGCACAACACGCGTGGCCAAAATACTTTTCCTCGCCATCCTAAAATTTTTATTGTATTGCTTGCTCTAATAAAGTGTTACGTGTTTCCATAAAACTTCGATTTATGCCTTTGCCACGACAAATGACTACTTCAATCTATAGGGTCCAATATCTATATTCCATCGTTGTGCTAACCTCTAAGTCTCCAATATAATCTCCCATAACCCAGTTTGCAAGTCGTTTTCTTTTGTGACCATCGTTTCATAAACTCTGGTTTATATTACCTTCGCACATAAACATGCACACAGCCTACAGGAACATTATTACATTTTGTATATGTATATGTACGTACTTATTTCGTCAATTCCATTAGTGTATCCCTGGAATTGCATGGCGTCAGTTGAGAAAAGTGTGCGACTCAATAAAAATCCATCAACTAAAAAAGTTAAGATTCTTCTACCAACGACCCAACTAATGCAAAACCAATATTACCTCCAAATTTATTCCTCCTCCAGAGGTTCGACTTGAACATGAATGTGAAGTAGGGCTCAAGAGATTCTTGAGAAAATGGGAACAAGAACTTTACACAGATAATTCCAATTCCGATTTGAAACCTTGTGACTTCCAAGTCGCTCGTTATACGTGGAATGGGATTCGTACAGACTTCTTAGTAGTCGACTGATAGACTGAGCAAGTCCAAATTAACGCAAAAGTTAAACTTGTCACAGGTGTGCATAGTCAATTGCTAACCATTAAACTGAACGAAAAATATCGATCCAGAAGGGAAAAAGAAGTACATTCTACAACAGTGCAAAAATCCCTTGTTAGTGGTCATGTAACAAAAACATTGTTTTCAAGTTCTTTCCAAACTTTTAGACAGTCACCTTTGTCACAAATCCAGTCATGTTATGAGACAGAATAATAAAGTGATGGTGTCCAAGATTGGAAACATACTTACACATGCATGTGGGTTATAATTTCATTAAAATTTCATGAACTTGGGTAAGTTCAACCAACGGCTTGCACGACAATGAAAATATCAGTGATCACCACGCATATTCTTGCCATACAAATTTGATGTATTTAACGATCTATTTCTGTAAAACATTCTGTCTACGCGCATCCATAGGCAAGTGCTTAAATTGGAATGCAAGTCACAAAGTAAGATTCATAATGATTTTCCAACTGCCATACATAATTTAATTTTATCTCAATAATACACCCAGCAGAAATTTCATTAGTGCCAAGAATGTGTTGCTCTACAAAGAGAAAACACACAAGTTATTGCGATGTGCCCGAATAAGCATCTCATTCATGGGAATTACTTTGTCGTGACGACGTTCACCACTTTATTCTCAGGCACGCTGTGTAGGCTACATTCCAAAACAACTACTTTAATTTACATAAAATGGTTTTATTAGAACTTCGAAGTGCCCGGAATTTAATGCGGAATTAAGAAGAAAGTTCATTCTGCACGAATGAACTTTCTCCTTGTAAAAGGCGTCGAGCCGAGCATAGATGCTTCCGGACATGAGAACTTAATCAGTTTTTCAGGTGAAAATTAAGCCATAATTTCGGAGAAAAAAATTCTACGAGTAAGAAAAATATTAAAAGCAAAACACGATGTTCGAGGTGGTCACTTTTACCAGAAATATAAAATTATATGTAGTTTCATGCTGTTCTGTAAAATTTATTCCAGAGTTGTGCAGCAGCTATATAGCGGAAACTTGGGTTAATAAAAAAACTTTTTATAAGCGTCACGGACCCTTTTCTCCTTCCTTTTCACTACAGCCACCACTGAGCTCCTTAATTTTTTTGTGCACCATGCACATAAGTAGGACTCAGGTGGAGGTGTCTATATTCAGATACCACCACCACCACATTTTATCCACTTATTTTCAAACAGTTGAGCTTACTCTCCAAATTCAGTTTTATGATGAATACGTGACTTTTTTCCAACTGGGCGAACTAACTATACACTTTTACAACATCTCATTTAATTATAACGAGCTGCAGAGAGTATGCACATAGTGGTTCTTGTTGGGCTCAGGATAGGCACATAGACAGACACATGTCTAAATATGTATATAGACAACCATGATATAGAGAGACCTCCACCCTTTTAGATAATTACTGTTTCTTGATGGAAATTGGTCTCTCTCACTGCTTCGCATCCAAACAATTTTCAACTTTAGTCTTAAACACGCAGTTTGGCGTTCATTGCTTATAGTGCACTTTACTTGATGTTGGGATAATTACCTTTTTGCTATATTGAAAATTAACGCAGTGCAAAATTAGGAGTGCAAAAGTCATTTGTAACCTGTAACCGAAGAACACGATAAGTTGGTTAGTTGGATAATTTACCTGTTCTTTGTACGTACGAAACATTGCGTGCTGGTCATCTGAAAAATGATCAATATTTCTGGTCTTAACCGTTTATGACTTTTGTCTTCACAATATTTCGCTGTACTCGGATTTCAATATGGGAGAGTTTTGTGCATGTACATATCTGGCTTTCAAAATTTTAGCCTGTGCAAGTATTTCCGTGAGCCAATTACAATAGCGTATGGACCAATCGTTTCATTTGCATTATTTAGCAAATAATGTATTAGGGAATATATACTTTGTACTAAATATTTCCAATTTGTAAGTCCGTTACAGCATTACCAAAGTTGGGTGCTGTATTGTTAAAGACCCAATGGACAGAAAATATGTGATTAAGCTTCCTACTAATAAGTACGTAACTAATAAAAGTTAAGCCCGTATTTTCGGTGACCAATAGTTAAAAATTGATGAGTGACATATTGATTGATGATTTGATAGAACTGCTTCATTATTCAGTGCGCCAGTTATTTCCTCTCCCTCGTTGACTCACATGACACAGTTGGTTATTGGTTGAAAGGGCTCTAATTCTGATAACATGCTACGCTGAAAAAATTCCTGAGCAGTCCACAGCTGAGCTCAAATTGGAAACACTGTCTTATCGCCATTGAGGGTGTAAGTGGAAAGTATACGACATTTGTGATTGATTTACTTGCTTTCCCCATTCGACTTTTGTAATCATCTAATTGAAAATCCTCTCTATTTTTCCCTTGCGACAAAATTAGACAGCGTGTAACAGAGTGACTGTCGAGTTGCATTGGTACTGGGTACTTGTCGGGAGTGTTATGTTCTCAATGTCTCAATGTATAAATGAATATTGTGAACTAGAAGGTCGAGAGAAAATCGTTGAGAATTTTGGAGAAAGTGATACTAAAAACTAGAGATTTTATTTTATTCCATTTTGTAGACAATTTTTTTAATCTCTCAGAATTGAGTTGCTTAAAATGATTTTTAGAGAAAGTAAATTGCAGATGTTTCAGTTAAGATTTTAAAAACTATGGCATGCAGACTCCTTCACAATTGTATTACAACTTGATAATGTGTGGACATACTTATGGCAAATTCCCGTGGGTGGATTAATGGATCATTTGGATCATCGATAAAGCGTTTCCATCGCCAAAAAGTATCTCAATTGTATCAAATTTTCCTGTAACGTGTGCACAGATATTCCTCCTAATACATATGTAGAGGTTCCATGAGAAGGGAGTATTTCCATTAAATCTCGACTATCTTTCGGCTATGCTTCAAAAGTAAAGTACAAGGATCCTAGCAAAACTTGAGAGCCTCATCCATCCAAATATATTGACGGATGAGAGAATAAACTCGACAGTTTTATTATCCAGAGCGTAGATTTTGCCGTGCAAGGATAAATTAATTCGCCGCACACTTTATCACACGAACCTGTAAAAGTTACCATTTGGCTGACTAAACTGTATTGGTTGAGAAATCGAACTTAATTTAAATGTATGCTCGTTTGAATATTATGAGGTGCGCAGAACACGAACTCTAAAATCAGCCACTTCGTTTATGGCAACTATCAAAATATGCGTATTTCTAGACATAAACGCAGATGCTGTAACATTTCGATGTGTATAATAACACGCACGATGTGGTGAAAGTCCCATATTTTGAGTTCACTGGTAAAGAGTGTCAAATGGTACATATTTACATAGCGTAACATGTCCTACAGAAATAGAAGGAAGAAAGTGTACTGTATATGTACATTGGGTGCAAATATTATGTACAGTTTGAGTTTTTTCATCAAAATTGGCCAAGAGCAGAAAGAATTAGCATCTTTATTGTTGGCCCCATTCTCAGACCATGTAGCTCGAACGTTATGAAGGAGCTGTTACAATGTATTAGCCTGTTATTCGTCTATTAATGAAAACAATCCATCATTATAAATCATTATTCGGGCCACTTTGTTCTAAAACGTCGCGTGCATTAATCTTACAATAATGAAACTTTCGCTCGGATTATTTGTTGTTAATGAAGAATTCACGCAAGTGTGGTCGTTGTTGTTTTAGGCCGCTAGTTCTAATCCTTTGAAACAGCCTTCTGTTTTCAACTGATGAATCAAATGAGAAGGGAGAATAAAAGATTTGGGCCAATAATAGTCCAGTAAAATAGTTGCCCTTTTGAAACAAGTGAAATCTTAGGTACGAATGAAACCTTGTATTAGAACAATCATTTGTGGATAAAGGAAGCCCCGAAACGAACACTGTAATCAATGTTTATTTAAGTCAACCCAATTGTTTGAAAGAACAGAGATAAATTTGGCGAACGTCTTCTCACGGAAGGAAAAATTACACTGGCTCATGTTGAACTGGTATTTTGTAGCACTGGCACGTCTCATCCATTCCTCGAGGGAGAAAGAAGTGGAATATCACACATTCTGTCTTTCGAAGGAGCAGGAATGCGGAGGAATACTTGCTTACAGTCACTCAAAGCCAATCTTCTTTAATATCCTTTTGGGTTTTTGAAGTCTAACTAGACCAAAAGAACCAAAAACAGGAGACTTGTTTCTCCCAACTAAACTGCACACACTACTTACTTTGTACCTTTAACTCGCTAACTACTCCATGATGCTATACACTCTGACTTTTGGGAATGTAACGATGACTGGGATTACACTAACTTGAAAGAAAGCTCAACATGTCTATTTACACCTTTATTGGTTTCTTTGAACCCGTACTTCCCTCACAAATTCCTCCGTTATATGAAACAAGCAATCAAACATTTTATGTGTTGCGGTAATTCAGTAACTTCCGCTACCTACCGCTGAGCTGTTATGTACATGCTCTCCAGAAAGGACGCGGCATTCATTTCTTCATACAATCTACACAAGGAGAAAGCCATACTACAATTTGAACCAATCACTATGTGGAAACTACGGTAGCCATATATCAAGAGATCGGTAATGCTGATGAAAGATAAGCAAAGGCCACCATTTTATGTTCCAAGAAAGTATTAAAGGAAAAAATCTCACTTACAACTCCCAGCGTACTCATCATGGGGAATAATGGACATGAAGAAGGAAAAGGCAACGCTCGGCCACATTCCACACTTAAATTTTTGTACATTGGAGAAAAATAATTAATGAGCAAACAGCCATAACGGACTACTCAGTGGAGCTCTATACTATATAATCTATATAGTAGCGAGGGTTGTGTAGCACTGCGGAAGATGGACGCTAGCCTGCCTGCATCTGGAAGCAATGGAAAGCATGAAGAAAGTTGGGATGTGGAAATGGTGTCAGAGGAGAAAATTGAGAATCGAGTCGCAATCCCTGAAAAATTGCCCATTTCATTTCCAACCGACTCTACAGCTACAGCTACAACGATATCGTCCTCAACTGCAACAATTGTGAGCCACGAAGACGCCAAGCTAGAGAACGTGGATGGAGAGATTTTGGTGTGTATGGAAAAATTGGGAACTCGTCTCAACGTGCTAGAATCTGAGCTCCGTTACGCGTGGAGGGCATTAGATCTGTTGTCACAAGAGTACGTGATCATGTGGAATCGAATGGAGAAGGCGGAAAGCCTACTGACCCAGCAACAAGCAATTATATCGAAAATGATGGAGGAACAGGCCGAAGAATCCGAGGAAGCTCGGGAACTGTTTTTATCACGGCGTAAGAGGGACGGGAGTGACGACAGAGGAGGAGGCTCGTCTAGTAAAGGAAATCATTTTTCTTCACACCTTTCGAGCTCTTCCTTGGGAGGTCATGCAACCCGTGCGACAAGAACTCCTGATGAAGCATTTTATCTAAATTTGAATTTGGCCCATCAAGGTGACGAGGAAGAGGTAGAATTGGGGACTGAGCAAGAACTCTCGTTGATTTGGGAAGAGGATGGCGACGCTACAGAGAAAGGCTCAAGCTCTCCTCCGGGAGCCACAGACCCAACTGGAAGTAAAGAAATATCCCCTCCCACGACCATCGCTACTCCTGCTCCTGTTAGTCTTGGTGGTGGTGGCGGAGAAAGTGATAAAGTAATTGCGAGGAATGTCGAAGAGAAGGGTCTGCTCTTATTTAACGAAGATAGTTTCGAAGTTGTAGAGAGCAGTGCGACTGGTGGTGGTGGTGGTGGAGAACACGTTATCGAGGATGAAGACAACTACCAAGTTGATCGGAAAGTGAGGAAATTGGACACTGGAGATGAAGATGAATCCCGAAGAATTTTTAGTGCTTTGGATTATAAGGATTATCGTGGATCCCAGAGATCTCCGACCATAAGTGAAAAGGACTTGAAAGACTTGGAGGAACTCTCGGCAATTAGCTCGTTAGAGACTAAAGACATAATAGACAATCTCGATAGACATGGAGGGAAAGTACATCATCAGTTTCACCATCACCACCACCACCACCACTCCCAGCAGCAGGCGTCCAAACTTGATTCATCGTCCCCACCTAGTCCCGCAAAGTCTTCCTCTTCTTCATACTCTGTGTTCCGGAATGGAAATAAATCGCTCTATGAAAGCCCGCAACGGCGAATCAAGGCCACACGACAGCAACAGAGGGAAAGGCAGCGAAGTGCTTTGGAAGAGAGTTTCCGTCAACTCTATGCAGATCTGGACCTACCCGAAGATGATCAACACACAACGACCACCAGCGTAACGACAACGATGACCTCACAAAAATCTGAACCCATCGGAACCTGCTCAAAATTAAGTTCAAGCAGCCCTGTGCCAATGGGTGAGAACACTTTAAAATTATGATCAACCATGTCTGTCTGATATTTATTGGTCAATGAAACAAATATTACTCTTTGGAATGGTTTAACGTTTGCATGACATCAAAAAATGAATGATATCTTACCTTTTCAGATATAAGTTCAGACCGTAGTAGTAGTGCTTTGTCCAACAGCAACAGGGCGACGTCTCCGAGTAGTAGACAAACTTCGTCACTGAACGACTTTATCTTAAATCAAGAACTTTTAATAAGGGATGCCTTAAGAGACGCTTCTGGAACGACGTCCCCATATCAACTCAGCTCTCATCACTCGGAAAGTGAACCCAACACTGACCAAGAAGTGAACGCTGCATTGTTGGGCACAAACTATGACCCTTTGGGTCGCATCGTTTCTTCCTCTACTCCATCGTCAAGTGCTCCCACATTCTCCAGTAGCTCATCTCAGTTCTTGACTGGCAGTAATACCGCCGCTATCGGCAGACACGCTACTGCATCCCCCACACCACCTCGAACCCGTCAGGACGGGTACATCGGGGTTCCCTCAAGTTCTTACACAAACGTTGCGAGTCCTGTAAGAAGTCCTTGCCCAGAAAGCCCCAGATTATCCGCCCATCACGAAACATACTCAAGTCCTCCAAAGGGAAGAAGCAGCCCGATGACATTGTTATATTTTTCTGATCCAACTTCATCCAACGCTTCCCATCATCGTGATCGATATCCAGATTCCCACGAAACTTTGGTGAAAGAGGGGACAGCCGCCGCGTTGCAAATGGCAACAAGAGTCCACATTGCGAGCCCTATTCCCGAGTATTCGGCCATGAATGATTTGTCCATATCTATTTCGCCATCCGTGCGAAGAACACCAACTGGCCTAGACACCAACCTGGGAGATGGAATGCAAGATAGCGTAAATATTAGACCAAGCCCTAAATCACCCAAACCTTCAAAAGCCTCGTTAATGCATGCCAGATCCGATTCAGGAGTATCTGAAATGAGTAACTGGTCAAGCATTGAAAAGGAAAGGTCACCAACGAGTCCTTCAAGATATGCGACATCCGCTCCACCAACCCAACCACCATCTTATCAACCCATTCACGGAGGGGGCCTTCACCACACAGCTCTGTCTCCTAACCCTGCGAGTCCAATAATGGGTCATCATGGCAGAATAAGTCCTCGACATGCTCACCATCTCGACTTTGCCAGTAGGGATGAGAGCACATCCGAAGGAATGTTGCCAGATGTGACAATAGCAACCTCGCTTTCTCCTGCTGCTGCCTCTGTTGATAATCAGATTGAATTCAGTACATCGCCCAGGGATCGGTTGCCCTATAGAGTTGGAGCTGATACAGATAATAATGAAATTTTACCCGACCTCGCCTCAGCCTCAAGTAATCGTCCATCTCCACGAACTAGTTCTAGAAATATGGGCACTGTCTCCCCCAGTTTGAGTGAAAAAGTGTACGATGTGAAAAGTGACGTGGACTTTCAGCGCCAGGACATGGTGGCGATGGTATTAGCCCGAGAACGTGAACGAGAGCGTGACTTAATTACTGGGTCTGGAGAGACTCCTTCCTCCACAGCAACAATAGGATTGGACAGTTTATACAAAAGTGTTGGGTACGGAAGTCAAGTAGTAGCTCCTGGAGGTGAAGCAATGATAGGAGGTCCTCATCATGCTCCTGCTACTTGTACTACAACTGGCGGAAGCGCCTCGTCTCCGTATCTCGGGAGAAATCGATGGGGCACCGCAGAGAGAACCAGCTACGGTCGTGACGTGAGTACAAAACCCATTCGACCCTACATGCCAGGGAGCGACTCGGATGGCTCGGAGTCTAGCATTTACAGTTATTTGGAATCTTCCCATTACCATACGCGAGTGAAACATGCAAGCCCACAATCAGTGACTTATTCTACATATGACCACATTCGTCCAAGACATCACTATTCTCCTTCCACGTATGAAATAGAACGAGAAAGGGAGTTCTTAGATAGGGAGATGAGGAATCGGGCAGTGTACAACAATGAGAAAAACTTCTATGCCCCCTCCGTTCCATCCACGTATTACACGGCGAGCAAGTACGGCTGCTACGAAAATCCATCCTACACGGTGACTGAGCCTGGGGAACTCAAGTGGTCACAGGAGTCTCATGATCACAGCCACCGTTACCAAACAACAGCCGAGCAACAACTTCAATATTCTCTACGAAGCAGTACCATTGATCCAAATCTTCAACACAATATCATGACCTCATCAACTGCAATATCATCCCCAGGAAAATTTGATAATAATTTTTCCTACAGACCAGATCAGCCCAGTCACCAACTTCAGCAAAGATTAGCTGGCACAGAATACGGTGGGGCTGGTCAACCTCATCATTATGAAACCACCCCCGTTAGTGGCGGTGTTCGTCCACCAGGAACTGCACCCTCACGACAAGGAGGAGGATATGAATTGCGACAACAACAATATTTTGGTCCACCTCAAACCGGTGGATATTTGCAATCTCGGGCTGGATACGTTTCGATAAGTTCTGCATCGGGTGGTGGCGGCAGCCGTGAAGGTGTCACTTCATCCGACAACCAAGACATGAACGCCAAACAGCAAAGTGCTACCGCTACAAAGCGAAATAAACCAAAACGAAGTGCTAGTTTAAAGTCTGCCATGAACACGGTTGGAAAATGGGTTCAGCAGGATTTGCACATAACTTTGCCCAAAAAGGAACGTTCAAGATCGCTGTCGGACAGTGAGAAGCCGGATATTCAGAAGCAGTACAGTGGTCACTCTCATGCTCCTTCTACTCCTCCAACGTACGGTAGCAGCAGTAGTGGTACACCGGCAGGGACGCTGAAGAAGAAAAAGCGGCACTCAATGTCCATTGTCACGAATATTGCTACCTTAGTGCACAAGGCTAAAAAGTGGAGCAGTCAGTCAGAAGATTCTGAAGTCTCAGAATCAGAACATCAATACCGTGGCGGTTACTACCGTCCCAAATCTGTTGACACTTCCCCACGCGGAAAAAGTTATCTCGCGGTTAGATCTGGAGTTGGTCGTGGTGGTCGTTCTTACGAAGCTTCGGAAAGCGACTTGAGCGAATCTAGTCTATTTCCAAAAGTAAAATCATCCAATCGCAGAACAATGTCTGAAGGCTCCGGTACTGAGACTGATCTTGAACTGGATAGACTTCCAGATTTAGCACAAGAGCTTTTCACCACTATTGGAGATGTAAAGAAGCAACCACCACCTTTGCCGCCACCGCCAGGTCAGCAAGGTGAAATTAGCGGAGGAGGAGGAGGAGGAAGTGGTGGCAGCGGTAGTGGCAGTCAGCGAAGTTCCATGAATTTGGAAAAGCACCAACCTGGTAGCCCGTTAATTTCCCCAACGAGCGGAGAAGGAAAGTTCGCCACAATGGGCAGTGGAACAGAGTTCGCCGCTTCGTTACGCGTTGGTAAATATCGACAAAGACAAGCCGCAACAAATGGATCAGGGACGACGACGACCATTAATAACCGTCAGCAGGCACCTTATCCTGGCGCTATGCAGCAGCAGCATCCTCAAATTCAAAGAGCAGATTCTTTGCCTCCCCCGAGACCACCTCCGCCTCAAAGGGGTCCGAGTTTGGATGTGAAAAATGGTGTTCAAGAACAGACGGGCTCGGTTAGCGTAGCCCAATCAGAAAGTACTTTGGCGGATGATGATACCGCAATTAATTACCTCACTCATGAAGTTGAGACTGGTGATGATGATGGGAAGGTGGAGGAGCAGCATCAGCAATCATTGCTGGTGTCACACTCTATTGATCAGATAAAAGCTGGAGCAGCTCCAAGTGATGAACAAGTGTTCCATACTAAAAGTAAATTAGAAGAGACAGACGACTTTGGAGAATGGAGAGAAAATGATGGGACTGAAATTTTTAGACAAATCGGAAGTTTAAGTGGGATTGCTTCCCCTCCAACTATTCAAGCCCAAAGTGGTGACGAAACCTCGGGACCAATAAGCGCCCCCAGTGCCACCACTCCGTTTATGATGATGACAACTGCAGAGCCTCAGGAATCGGTCTTTCTCCAAGGTTTCTCCAAAGGAATTGAAATGACATCTCCACACTCACTCCCATCAGAACTGCCTATTCCTATGACAGCATCTCCCATCTCAACTCATTCACCTTCCCCGTCCGGATTAACCTCATCATTCCCCACAATTCGAACTTCCCCTCAACAACAGCCAAAATTTGGTCTGCAACATCAGTCTTCACTCTCAAACAAATCGTTTGGAGATTCGGATATGGGAAGTTCATCTGATTCGGCTCGTCTTTCTTTATCCTCAAAAAATCGATTGGATCTGCCATCCCAGAGAACGCTCTCTGAAGAAGAAGACTCACGATCAACCCATTCAATGAGAAGTTCCAGAGTCTCCTCCAGAAGACAAAGCACGGAGGACAGCATAGACAGCGACGATATGTGGTACAAATATGAATTGCAAAAACTGGAAGAATTAGAAAAACAACAAATTGCTGCAATTGACTCGCAGCCAACCTCCATCGCCAACTTTCCCCAAACACAACTCCGCTTTCAACAGTACACGTATGTCAATGCCATGGGGGCACATTCCTACTCGCCCAACCAAGCCCCAATGTCTGCCACGGTGGATATGAAGGAACGGATGGGACTTGTTCTTCAAGAACTGCTAATTAAAACCTCTCCTGAGCCACCTGACATGAAAGGCGGTCCGGACTCTACGACTGCTGATGAAATTGTCCCGTCAAACCAAATGGAACGACGACTTTCTTTAACCAAATCTCAACAGAGGCAATTGCACCGTGAAGACTCCATGGTTGATGAGCCCCTTGGATACGTGTCTCGTAGGAGAAAAGACCATGAGGATTATGAACCTGATCAAGATTCCGAGACAACTTCCAACGCTTGGAAGCAATCAGAACATCACGGGAAAGATCGCCCGGATTCTGGCAGAGGATCCATAGACTTTGGTTCCATGATCGAGCCACCACCGGCAGAAATTGGCTTAAGGATTGGCATTGCGATTGAATCCAGCAAAAAGCAGCAGCAACAACAGCAACAACAACAACAGAGTGGTCTATACTATCAAGACTCTTCAAGTGTAAAAAGTTCAGAGTCAGCTTTTTACAGTGGAGGTGATCAGACACGAGGAGATACAACAGGAGAGGAACGCCCATCCATCAGCCTTCCCTCCTCTTCCTCCATCGGAGACAATGTATGGCACTCGGAGAAAAGAGACGATGACGACGATGGGTCGCATCACGGGAAAGAGAAAGTTCGTGGTGGAACTTCATCCGGGGAGACGAGTGGTCCAGATACTCCCCAAGAGAGCTTTGACGAGGATGAGATGCAGATTGCCAAGGAGGAAGAAATGATAAGGAAACACTTAAAATTAGTCAAAGAAGGAAAAGACGCAGAGGAAGACGAGGAGGAGGAGGAGGAAGTGGAACAGCATCCGCAACAGCAGCAACTGGATGAGGACGAATACGGAGAAAGTCATGATTACGAGAGAAAGGAATCTGTTGAGTCGTATCAACCGCAATCGCCACCAATGGAGAAAGGTGAAGGCAGTGTCGGCGAGGGATGTTATGAGACGGAAGATGCATTTGATGAAAGTTTCCCAGCTCAAGCTCCCGGAGCAATCTCGAGTGGACCAGGCACTGGTACAGGCACTCCTGTTGAAACCAGTCGGCGAGAATCCACCCAAAGCATGGGTCTCTCAATCTCCAGGAAATTCATGGATATGTTTTCTATGGGCGAACTAAAGAAAGTGACCACCTCGGAAGAAGACGAAAGGGACAGAGTTAAACGAGACAGCACAAGCGGGTCTCCTCCTGACGCCCAACAGTCTCTTGAGAGGAGAGAAAGTGCAGAAGGGCATCCAAATAAAGGGATGTCAGCAATATCTATGTCGATTGATGACGAAGGAATGGCGGGTGAGGGTGGGGGCCCTGGTGGTTTGGGAAGCAAGTGGGGTTTCCTAAAAACTCTCAAAGAAAAAAAGGCAGAAGAAAAAACAAATGCTGCTGCCGTTGCTCAACTCCAAGCCGACATTTTGGTAATTTTCGAGTGTCCTCAGCAAATTTGCAGCTTTCCTTATTTTACAGACACACGTTTTATACATCATAAAATTACTTCCAAGTTTTTAATTGGAAATTCAAAATTAATAATTATGGTTCACGTTGAGCTGTTTAGGTTTATTTATCTACATGCATCTACATACATGCATGAGTGCATTTGTATAAAATGTATTTATGTGTGTGTTTAACTTTTACTATAGTTTTATTATTGCATCTGAGAGGTTTAACATGTATGTTATTCTACTTTCTTCAAAAAGAAAGTACTTTTATACGTATTTGAAAGCGAAGATTGTGTTTGCTGCAAGCATATGCACATGCCAGCAGATGACAATAATAGGGTCAACATATAGCAATAATGTTTAGCGATTTGTATTCTGGTTTAATTCTTGGTTTCGTCCAACAAGAGTTTGCGTTGTTTTTTTAGTGAAATGAAAGTTGAAACCGAGCTGTTTAGTTGGAGAAGCCAGCAGCACAAGTTGTAACAAGCCATGTCTCATGATAAGACTCGGAGAAAAACTACTGAAATATTAATGAAGTTGAGGGAGCTCGCATGCGTGTGTGTGCAACTTTTCCTGAGGTTCGACTATATTATTTTCCATCGTTCCCTATCTTCTCCACGTTAGTCTAGGTACGTCTTCTGTAAAAAATGGGGAAAGTTGTATTATCAGTACATCCTACTTTTCTCCTTTCATTCCACAAAACCAATAGTAAATTGACCAGGGATCTTGTATCTTTTCGAAACATTTACTTTCGTCGGATGAGAAATTCCTTTGCTCTTCTTTTGTAGATACTCGATTCTTTTTTATCATGCATTGCCTTGTTACAAGTTGATGTTATCAAGTGCCAGTCCTACTTTCTATCAACTCAAAGAAAAAACAAAAGAAACAGAAACAAAAATAATCAAAACTTCAAATCTAATTCAAGTGAAAATCTCTGCTGCTCCGATTTATTGTGTTTATTTGCTGACATTGCACAGATATATTAAACTTACCTCTTTTTTGACTCTGTGACGAATGAGAAAATGTCATTTATAAAACAAGTGTTGATGATGGTTGAAAAGCGTCAAAATAAATGGAACAAGTCGTAATCTTGGTTAACTAAACAAAAAAAAATGAGTGGAGAAAGCAAAAAAACTATATTGTATTAAAATGCAATATAGTTATTTAATGCATTCATTGAACCATAATATTTCTAGTAGCTCTGTGCAGACCAATTGCTATCTTTCTTTTGGTAAATAAAAATGACTCAAGAAAATCTGTAATCATAACCATTCATGACCTTAACACATGTAAATACATACGCAATTTCAATTCCGCTTATGCTTAGCTTGGAACATAAACTAACACTTGCATAATATTATGTCGCTTGTTTCAATGTCCGATTCTTCGAAAATACGGTGACTGTGCAAAACAAAATTTGAAATTGAAACTTGTATGTAATTTTTTATGTAACTTTACAGAGTGGCGGAGTTGGAGGAGATGGATCGGGACGAGGCAGTGGGTATGTTGTTTAACTTTATCGTCTTCTAATTTTCTGCCGAATTAGTTAAACTAGATCTTAATCAACTTCATCATCCAGTGTATTTCGACTCTTGTCTTGTTGAATTAATACATACCCCTCCCGATAAGGGCTACAAACTTTGGATTTGATACATGTTAGACCCGAACGCAGTTTAATTATCTATGAGACCTTTATAAATTTAATAACGAAGTCAATAAAATTCAGTTCCTACTTATAAGGTAAAGACCAGCTAAAATGTTCTAAATTTGGAAACAGTATTATTTGAATCATGTTTTGTGACGTAATGAGGTTACAATCGAAATGCTGGTGATGTTGTCCCACTAACGATTAGTAACGAACGGCTAGACTGAACTGACGTATAGTAGAAGCTAGAAGAGGTCGAACGTGCTTAATCAATGGCACAAAATTTGTTCTCCCCACAGCCATCCCAGAGTTTAATCGCATTAATTTTTCTTAGGAATTTGGGAGAGACAAATCCTTTCTACTCCACCATCGACAGTATGCCTGACATTCGACCCAGGAGGAAATCAATTCCATTAGTTTCCGAGCTGGTAAGTTCTTGTTGAAATACAAAAAGAAAATACTGAAGACAAAGAAAATTAGTAAATCTCAAGTCGAAACTTGGAATGAAGTCACGACAATGCTCGATGCACGCTTTCTCTTCCACTCGATTTTCTTATACTTTGAAGCTGTATCTGGAGCAGAAATATTAATAGAATGAAAATAAGAAACATGAATTATGTCGTACCCTTATGCTTAGTATGTTCATACATAAATACACCGTCTCCAAGAACACGGTCCGTTTAAGTAGAAAGAAAGTGGAGCTTTCACTTGGTAATATAGGGTACGCAACAACTCCCATCACGAGAGGAAACCACACCGACTGGTTAAATGTAAATACCCAGATGGCAAAAATCTCCAATTTTGTTGGCAAGTAATCGTGGAAAACAATCCGCGAAATAAATATGCCAATTAGTAATCCTTATTATGGCAAATAAGCCAGCAACATCGTGAATGGTTGTTCATGATTATCTCGCGTAAAATGTACGGATTCATATGTCCTTCAGTAAGTATTACACACTTAGCGGATGAATCGAAAACTGTTGCGTAAACTATTAATCCGATGTATAAATCTTTCCCTAAGATTTCAACAAAAGCAATTATTATTACTGCGCATAATTACTATTAACTTGATTTTAATACTTTAATATTTAACTGTTTCCTATTTGATGCTGCCATTTTAAAGGTTCTCAAGGTAAATTTTTTAACAGTGTATTGATGTGAAAAATTCAAATGCATAATAAATAAGTGTTACCTTTAAAATATTTATTTTCATTCTTTATATAATTTTTAATATTTTGTTGATTGAAATTTTATTTTTCAAGTATAAACTAACATAATTGTGTAAACTTACTTTCTAGACAATGGCAGCAACCAAGCGGCAGGCCGCTGGTCTAACCAACGCCATTCCACGTGCTACGCTTAACGACGAAGAATTGGTAAGAAAAACTTTATTGTTTAATTGCTCAATTGATAAATGTCAATTTAATTTTTAAAGTGTCAACGGCAGAGAAAAATTTACCGTACATATGAAATGACTAGTTATTGAATCTTTGCATAAATCTTGGACCGTATACTTTATTCATATTATTATGATTACTTCGATATACACCATAATAGATACACTCATTAAAATATTTCTCATGATAGAATTTATACTTTTAAGGTTATGAGATGTTATTATTACGCAATTTGCGCAAACACCTCCAAATAAATATATAGATATACCGTCGACATGATTAGTTAAGTCAGGTAAATGTCACGCACTTTACGGCTAATTATTTTTCTGAAAGAAAAACACATCCAATTCACAATTATTTACCAGCATGCTTTAATTTTTTCCTATCATTGTTATTCAATTGCATGACCACTTATTCCTTCACTTTCCTCTGTGAACTGAAATCTTTTCTACACATTTAATATTCACAATAATACACTCTTTACTTTCTTGTACTTTCTTGTACATCTTCGTGTTCTTAACTTTTGACTTTTTTATTTATTGCTGTTTTGAAGCAATGTTTTATGTTCTTGATCATGTGAGGTCGAACATAAATCAATTTTTGTACCAATGGTCTGGAGTTGACTTGCTCGCATATGAACCCACTTAAAAAGTAAATTAGTTAATTGCTATACCACTTATTCCGTAGTAGTGTCTGGCAATTTCTCAAAATGTAGCACATATTTTGTGAAATTAATAGCAATTTGACCCTGCTGCTGGTCTCCAACCTTGATCAAGGCACTATTGTTTCTCTAATTTTGAATTAACTCGAAATTTGAACTACCTTGTGTGCCTTACTTTACCACCAACCAACCAACCTTACCTCTGACGTTTAGGCCACACACACGAGTACATTTAGGACCCTGACCAACCCATAAAACCCTTTTGTCTTGTCTCTTTCACATGTCTCGTCTGCTATTTCTTCTCTTCGGATAGGAATTGGTAAGTCCATATGAATGCGATCACAGTGACGAGTGTGTGCAAGTCAAATATTAGCAAATGCTGTACATTTTCCAATTAGCATCACAAGTTATTGTGTTTCATGTCATGCGAGTCCTAGACTTATGTACATAGATGGCTTTTAGCTTTTGTCCCTCCCCACACCTATAAATTGCTATGCCAAGTAGTATACTTACATATGTAGATCCCCGGATTGCTGCTCGGTTTCATTATGAAAATGGGTCACAGTTAATTAATCCCTTGTAATTGGTGTGAAACGTTGAGACAGTCTGTCGAAAAGTGCACACAATGTAATGAAACAAGGATATTCAACAACTTGTCGCTACTTTGTGAATCTGGCATGCAGAGTGCCAAAATTGCGTGTCAAGCCTCACATGTCACACATGTTTTCATAAAATTGAAAATATACAATATTGAGCATTTTAACAAAGAATTTCCCCGCATGTGAATCATGAAAGATGCTTAATAATCGTCACGCGAGCCACATTTCTGTCACACTAAATGTTCTTGTAAGCACCAGCACGCCATGTTTTACATATAGAATAGGTTGATATTATAGATGTATAGATAATAGGTGCCTAATCATGGTCCGAGTAATAATCTGCCACAGAATTTTCAAAACATGCTAATTTGTTGCATTGTAAAATTATATTTGTCGGTTATGTACATATGTGTGTATGTACACACTTAGATATACTCGCATAATGCCTGAAAGCTTTATATTAGATTTAGACCAGTCACTAAAACTAAAATGCCTTGTTTAAACAAAATTACTAAAGAAAATCTTCTTGAGAACATCTGTTTTCCATCGATTTACTAAAAATAGTTCTGAACGTGTAGTATATATTTAGAATACATGAGCCAATATTAATATTTCAAGGATTTGCAGCTTAAGGCGCTAATAAATGCAAAAAGCTTAGTTTAGGAAAGCGTGAAAGTGGGATATATAATTATGTAGAAAGTGAATACCAAACTTTCTGAGTCGGTATTTCAGGATAATCTGCAGCCTTCAATGTCTAACTAACTAAAGCTGATATAGCAGTAGTCTTCTAGTCTTTATCATCTCTCTGATAACAATTAGAAATGGAATTATGGAGTTGAAAATAAATTTGGACTTTCTTTCTGTTCCTGTTTCTGCTTCAACCATCAACCATTTTGGGATTGGACCTGGATCGCAGAAAATGCACGTGTACAAGAAAACTCTGCAAGCCCTTATATATCCAATTTCAAGTACTACCCCACACAATTTTGTCCTCTGGACGGCCACCTCGCCCACGTAAGATTGATTGTCTTGTGTATTTGCGTATTATTTTACAGATACCAACATAGATAAATTCAATTCTAATATTTTTTTAAATGACTTTGCGGCATAAACAGGTACTGCTACGAGTGCGAAGGTAAGTTTCTATTTAAAATGACTAATTTATCATTAGTTATTTAGCTATTTCTCAACCGCATATTGTGAACAACACAAAAAATTGAGCAAATAAAAATGAAATAAGTAAATATACAAATTAGCTAGTTGATATAGTTGGACGCTGCAAAATATGGCTTTGCCATTTTTCCCATGGAATACTTATAATCTGTCTAATATGTGTCTTTTTTATCTTAGGACTCCTTTGGGGAATCGCAAGACAGGGAGTCCGTTGCACTGAATGTGGTGTCAAATGTCACGAAAAGTGCAAGGATTTACTAAACGCCGACTGTCTTCAAAGTAAGAACTTGATACAATTTCCTGTTTTTTTTGTAACGTCAAAATAATCTAACTAAAATAACTGTGACTATACAAAACTGGTCAGAAATCTTTTTTATTGTCACATACGAGTGTAAATGTATACTTAAATAGGGCAGTAAAATGGTCAAAATCAATGTTTGTACCGTGACGCATTACACACTTCATGATGCTTCGTTTTTAAACTACATACATACATAAATACATTATCATGCGTCATTATACATAAAGTAAACGCCTCTCCCCATTCAATTTTGGGATTTATAATTCAATAATTCCCATCAACATTTATATTTGTTACTTATAATTATCGTGACTAACAATAGAACGAAGAGCTAAGTTGTCGTTTTACATATTTCCAATAAATGTCCTCGTTGTGGTCGCTTTATTTGTGCTCATTTTTTCCAGTTATGTAAGTGTTTCCTCTTCTGTGCTTTATGTGTTCAAATTATCACAGATTATCTTCTCCAAGCATTCTATAAGGTACTCAAGGTTAGCGGTTATAACTTGTAATCTGCTCCTTCCGAAATACATAATCGTAATTGCGTACATGTGCAATTTTCATGGTTCCTCCAAATTGTTGTAATCTACAAGAAAATGTAACTCACACGATCGAAATTCCATGAGATTGCTACTAACCTTGACTACTTTATGGAGACGTTTTCTTTATTTGAATCAAGTAACACATTTTCACCTTATTTTTTTACACGGGTAGTCACACTCGCTCAATATGAATACGATTGTTTCTGACAAACTGTTTTAAGTCTCTAAAAATGGTAAGGCAATTAAGTTGTGAAATGTCTAATGATGATGATTAGGATAATTTAATTGGTGTGTGTATATACAATTGTTGTTACACAATTAACAAGCCCTAATTACTACCGGGCATTGACATGAAATCCTTCATTTCTTACTTGCTGCTAGCCGGATTTACGAGTAAGAACAAAACCCTGGCTGTTCTTCTCTCTTTCTATCACTTTCTCTGTGTGTTTGTGTTTTTGTATATGTGCTTTTGGGAGTTCCAGTATAATAATTAACATAATTGCATTAAAACCGTTAGGATTATTAGTTCTAGTCGTATTCATTCTAATCTACAATCTTTCAAAATCGCATTTGATTTATAAAGCATAGTAGATCAAATAATAACGTAGTTTTAGAGTATAAAAATGTCAATTTCAGTGAATCATGGTTTCTTATTGATTCTCTTTGTTCTACTACAAACGTGGTAAATGTAGTAGAACAATGAGTTCAAGTTTATTATTTGTCAAATCAAAATAACCTTTTAAAAAATACATTTTCTGTCAGTCATGCTTTCACTGTTTTCAACCATGTTTGTTAACAATACTCAAATAATACATATAGCGCTCTTCATCCAAGTAGTAGTCGCGATAGAATTCCCTTTAACGCTGTGCAGCAGGTGATGAGAGAATGTTCTGCTTAAACTGTTTTTAAAACTTTTCATAATTCTTAACAGGAGCGGCTGAGAAGAGTTGCAAACACGGCGCAGAGGACAAGGCAAATAGTATCATCACGGCAATGAAGGAAATCATGAAACAACGAGAGAGGCAGAAACCGGAAATATTCGAGCTCATCAGGTACAATACTTATTGATTTTTGAACTCTTCAACAAGTAAATATGTAGTCAATATACATATGTCTGATCTCTAAGACCTCGTTCATAAAGTCATGTTTACCAACATCGTGTCATTTAAATTCAGTTAAAAGTAATCTCACTAAAAATAAGCACCGTATGTAGTACGTATAACAGTCTACTATTTCTCACGCTGTGACTTTCTCCGAATTGTTTGTGTCGCCTAGTAGCAGGCTTCGTTGGTATTTTGGCATACATTTTTTCTCATTCATTTAACTATAGTATAAAATTCAATTAATTGTACTTAATAATAAACTACAAACAGATTTAGTAGTGAGGATATCTTTCCAGGAGTTCTGAGTAAAGGAAGGATTATAAATTGGAATGCTATATTTTTAGGAACGTGTTTTCTGTAGAAGAGAAAACTCATTGTGGGCACATGAACAAAATAAAACAGTCTGTGTTAGACGGGACTAGTAAATGGTCTGCTAAAATAGCCATCACAGGTTTGTTCCCAAATTTAATCGGCTTTGGTGGGCTAATAAATGGCGAAACTCGTTGACTTCCGGCTGTCTATGTGCCAATGTCCTTCGCTCGCCGCTGTGTATTACAAAAATTGAACGCTCAAACATCTACACACATTCTCATACTGATATTCAGTCTTCTCTATTGATGAATTTTAAACAATATTATATTCATTTCAATGGATTTAGTTTTTTAACCTTGATTCGTACATTTTGAAAACTCCACGAGTATTGTACACATACATTTTCCCTCATTTCAATAGAAATTATTACATCGCTTTATGTGTGGATAGTTCTGCGACAGGTTTAATTGTGCTTAATTTTTAATGTTGTGCTGTTAAATTGGACCTGAACAATGCACGTGATGTCGTGATGTAAGCTAGCACTCCTCGTCGGCGAAAGTGTAATATTTGTGCGATTTTAACTAATGCAAACAGAATGAGTTTAGTGAATTATCTATTTATCTTGTGGCCTTTAGTAAAAAATATAATGTGTTCTTATTGATGTATGATTACAGTCTACATAGGTATAGAAATGGTTGATAATTGTCATTATTTTGTAGGACAATCCGTTCGCACTTGAAAGCTAATTTCCAATGCATTATTCGTGCATTTGAAAAATCTGCATTTGACATTCTGACAAATCAAATATCTACTACTAGTGTTACGCCAATCTGAAAATTTAGTTAGCATAATATATCATAGATTAGATTAGTATATTGTACTAGTCACTCATGGCTACTTTGGTCGCACCCGAGAGAAAAAAATGTGCATCTCTAACCGGTAACTGAAATGTGTATGAGCCTATTTTCACTTCGCAGAACAACATTTTCAGTCGACCCAGACACTCACATTGATAATATAGACCAAGCAGAAGGAACAGTTCTAGAAGGAACGTCAAACTGGAAATGCAAAATTGGCATCACAGGTAGTTTAAAACACGTTGACAGTTTTTCATATGTACATAATTACTAATAACTAAGTCACTCCACTTTCTCCCATTTCCCATCACTCGTATCAAGTCGTATAGTAGTTTCGTATCATCGTATCACTCACACGAATTAACACTTCCCACTTACAGTAAACGCTTACTTGATTCACTTAATTGATTCACGTATGTATGTATGAACTCACTTTTGCATCCTCTGTTAATCAATTCTACGAGTTTATGGAGACATACATGGATATAAATTATTACTAAAGCTTATAACTTGGGAAGTATGAAAATTTATTTACCGCACATTATAAGTGCATTGAAGTATATGGTGTGCAAATATTTTGAACTATGAGACAGTTTACATTGCTGCGATGGTGTACAATATGTTACGATAGTTTTTAGTATTATGGCAAACTTTCTGCTGATGACAATTGTAGAAATTTGACGTTGATATGGTCTGTATGGTTGCATGTTCTATTCATACGTGCTTTTCTATAGCTTTCCTTTTTAATGTATCTCTATTAGTAGTCATTCTCGTCGCTATTCAATGTACATCCACCAAGTAAACAAGCAAAGTATTGCCATCCCTTATACATTGGCTGTACACACACTTTCCATACTCTAAAATTAGGAAATTCAAAAACAAGTAGCACACAAGATGTCTTACGTATTTTGATATTTAATCATGCTTATTTGGCTTCCCTACGCATTTTTCGCAAATTGCAGGCTTGTGTTTGATATAGAAAAGTGTAGTAGGAAAATCCACGTATGTGCGTGTTGTAAAAATAGTTGTGCGTACTGAATGACCTGCTTAGCCCACTGAACCAGCCAAATTGCAACTTAAATATTCCCAAAATGATGCCATGTTTTCAATAACCTAATTGTTTTACTCGTCTGTCTCATTCTCTACCATTCTCCTTGATGACCTTATCTTCTGATTGGATATGGATTGTCACTACCATTCGTGCTATTTTCATATGAAAATGGAACAGTAATTTGTGCACAAGGACTAATTGGTAAGTTCCCGTTTGTTTATAATACAATTGTGAAGCTCGTACTTACAATTGAAAGCCGTTTGAAGCAGTAATACTGATATCAATGGATTCACCCATTACACACATACATATGTACATCCGATTGTGGTATTGAAGGGCCCGCAAATAAGTTCGCGGATAATTGGGTTGACGTTGCGAGGTGGGCCCTTCATTAATACGAACAAAAGAGTATTACTGCATTCATACTGGCTTATCTCTAACTTTGCAACTTTCCGGTCCTTCGGAACATAACACATTTGTGTCTATTTCTTCCAGCGAAAGATAAAAGCGGCACTTCAGACCCGTATGTGACCGTGCAAGTCGGAAAAGTGAAGAAGCGAACCAAAACGATGCCTCAAGAACTCAATCCAGTTTGGAATGAAAAATTTTATTTGTAAGCGGAAATGTGCTTTTAAAAAAACCTGGGTCGCGTTAGCTCCAAGATAATGAGAGGGCTTTCATATGTACGAACGTAATAACGACGACGACGTATTTCATGTCGTTTACATTTCAAAATAACAATAAGTGCCTCATTCGTGCACTTGAGATGTTGAGTATGTACAACACAGTGCCCATTTCATGTTAAGTACAAAGCTTATTTAATGGTGTATTCCATTCGTAATCGTTTTATCCCTCGAGAGATTTATAACAAATCTTTAGGCAACGCAAGAACGGCCAGATATAGGATTATAGCACCTTGCACATTAGGGTACCCTATACAGCCCACCCATTTGTTCAAGGGCTAAAATCTTATACATTTGATGGCTTGTAATGTTTGCTCATTCACAAACAAAAACGTCGTTACCCGGAAAGCAAATGGGCATCCTTGTTCCGTTTAATCATTCATTCATGTGATAAGACCAACTCTATTTGCTTGCCCCAAATTGTCTCTTGGTCTTTTCCAAAACTTGTTTGTTTTTCCTAAAGTTATTTGACATTTCATTTTCGTCCTAAATCTTTGGCGAAGGGCTCCTCTGTGCCATCCTGCTCATGTAAAAGGAATGGATAAACAACTAAAGATTAAAAACTAAATTATGCATAAAATATTTTTACTAGGATGCTTTTACTTTGTGTAAATATTTTCACCCAGGTCGTTGGGTTTTGAAAACTTACTTATATAAATTTATTTACAGCGAATGCCACAACTCATCAGACCGAATAAAAGTAAGAGTTTGGGACGAAGACAACGATCTCAAGTCCAAATTGAGACAAAAGCTTACACGCGAAAGTGACGATTTCCTGGGCCAAACGATAATTGAGGTAAGAGCTCACCCAGCCTGCAATCATGCCGCAACGAATTGAAGAGAAAGTCGAGTGTTGTCCCCTGTTCTGGCAGTCAACAGCTCTTACTTTTCCTCTTATTACTTTGAAATGCTTTCCCTTGGTCTGTGGTCACAGAAAAGCCGAGCAGACTTTGCAGCAGTCAAACAACTAGGAATTAGTGAGATTTGTTGCGCAACTTTAATCCTTTAGACTAATCGATGAGAACGCCATAGTTCAGTGATGCACAGATGTATTTAAGCAGTTGTTGTAACACACTGTGACTTATAAACTGCCCTCCAAGGACCTCCAGCCATGTACTTAACTTTGTAGCAACCTCATTTCATAAGTTCATGAGTTGATGTTTGAAATGCACCATGAACTAATTCGTCAGCTTGTAGTTGTCCTTAAACCGATAATCCGATAAGCTTACGAGTTCACCTCAGAACTTATCTAAAGATCTACAAACTAACCCTATCACTACTAATAATTTACCAAATTCATTTTGTGGGTGGGAATAATTATGCTTTCAGACAAAAGAAAGCAGGGCATAATAATACGTGAGAGTACATATTTTAAATAACTTTTTGCAGGTTCGTACTCTATCTGGTGAGATGGATGTCTGGTATAACTTAGAGAAGCGAACGGACAAATCTGCAGTGTCTGGAGCTATCCGATTGCATATAAGTGTGGAGATCAAAGGAGAAGAAAAGGTATAAAATTGCAAATCCTTGATGGAAATGTGATGTACATATATTTATTTAGAGCACATATATAGTCACTATATGGAGTAATGTCATTTCTTGGTAATTAGTTTAGTTTCTCGCATTCAGTGTTGGTTTATGTAACTTGCACATGTATATGTATGGGGAAATGCGTTTCAGTTTTGTCTTATCTTGTTCTGATGTGGTAACTTTATTACTGCAGTAGCACTACTTTAATATAAAGTTTGAAATCTTTAACCTCCTCAACAGCCATTAACCTTTTAAACTAAAATGATCTCACGTCAGCATGAACCACGTTATGAAAATTGCAAAATTTGCCTGAATGCATTTTTCGTTGTGCGACTAGTTTTCTGGAGTTTCATACATAGATTCATCTGTACTTATTTTTATACGGGAGTGAAACGGGGGTTGATTTATGTACTTTCTACTAAATTATCATAATTTTTCTAGGTCGCGCCTTATCACGTACAATACACTTGCCTTCATGAAAATCTTTTCCACCATTTGTGTGAGATTAACATCGGGATGATGCCACTCCCTTCTGCGAAAGGGGACGAAGCTTGGAAAGTTTACTTTGAAGATCCTGCTCAAGAAATTGTGGATGAATTTGCAATGCGATATGGGATTGAAGGTTAGTGTATCTTACTGTTCTTGCAAAAATCCGTGAAAATTTGCTACAAAATGAGAAAGCTCTACTTTGTGGCGTTAGTATATCCACGCACGGACAGCAGGACGACTCCAATACCTGCTCATTTAAAGCTAATTTAATCGCCAGTTAGATAATACAAATTCACAGAAAATTAAAAATAGATAAATGTATTTTAAAATAAAACAAGAGTTGCATAGTCCACACAAATAAGGATTTCTGTCCACGGTTGATGCGATATGATTAACATTAAGTAGTCCATTTCAAGTTCTTCATAATTTGATTAGCGGCCAAATATGAATTATTTAGTATGAATTATGCTCGTCTCATTCTCTGGAATTTTGTGATTCATTATTGGAAGAGTTCAGTTTTTAATCCAAAATATGAGCAAGATCAAACATGCTTTGCTTACTTTTAATCCTATGTATCACCTTTCAAGGTTACAAAACTGATCTGATTTATTGTCTTTACAGCAATTTATCAAGCCATGACGTAAGTAAAAATTTTGATATGCAAGTTTACCTATGTATGCTTGTGCGTATGCAAGTATTACATTGCACTATTTTAAATCTGATAAGTCTTAGTTCCTTAAAAATCCTAGAAATAAGAGAAACTAATTGTAAACAATAAATTCATATTCGAATTGACTTTCAGTGCATTTCTATCTATTAATATTTCTAAGTCATTGTATACCTACATACATCCATCATGTAAAGTAGTAATACAATTATCAAGTACTAATATACATTTTCTTGGGATAATTTTATAGGAACTTCCACTGTTTGTCCACAAAGTACTTATGCAACAGCGTGCCAGCAGGTACATACATATGATAATGCTATTCATTACCTCCGAGGTCATTCCGGATAAAGCCAAACTAAGCAAATGTTGAACTTGAAGTAATTAAACAATTAAAGTACACTTTTATTTTTTCCCTGGATCTTTATCCTTGGAATGTTCGTATAGACTATAATTCTCCTGTAATAATTTATATTTATATTAAACTACGTCAACAATTTCACTTACTTTTAATTTCTACGTAAGGAAAGTTAAAAAAACAGATTTGAAACTGAGAATTTTAGAGTGGACATTATCCAGAATGACCAAGGTGAAGATTTGTAAAAAAAGTAGTCAAGTTTATGAAAAACATGTAACGCATTTTCAGTAATGAGTACTCTCCTTGCAAACATCAATGCATAGTAAGTGAATAAAATAAGCAAACATGATAAATGTAAAGAAATGAAAAAATTTAAATTAGGATTATGTGCCTGGAAATTGGCAGGAAACTGCTTGCCAAAAAATAATGAATAACAAATTTAATTCTTTATCGTTTAGCTACGCTCACACGACTGCAACATCCGCAGTATCCGGTAAGAAAGATCAGTCAATTATGTATTAATCAGACATTATTGTTCAACTCCTCAAGGCTAATAAATACATTACTTATTTATTTCAGCGTCAGATCGATTTGCTGGTAAGTACCGACAGGCTAAATTTGCTAACAAGTGTATCTAATTACTCACATTAAAAATATCATGCATTTTTATTTGTTTGTAGCTTCAAATTTTGGCGTAAGAAAGAACATCCACAATGTCAAATATATGCAATGAACATTGCGCAAGGATTATCTACATATTTATTTCGACTGCATTTGTATATTTATATCCTTGCAGAAAGAAAAATTTGTCAAACTTCTCGACCAGCTTCACAACTCACTTCGTATTGATTTATCGATGTACAGAAACAACTTTCCAGCCTCCAGCAATGAAAAACTTATGGACTTAAAATCAACGGTTGATTTGTTGACAAGTATTACCTTTTTCCGAATGAAGGTATGCATGCATAAATACAATTTATTTTTATGGAATTGCTTATAAATCATCCATTTTAATAATGTTTCATCTTCTTTTATTGAAATTTTAGTACATTATTGATCAATTTAACTAAAATGTACATATTGCTTGATTTTTGTAGGTTCAAGAGCTGTCAAGCCCACCAAGGGCAAGCACGGTTGTGAAAGATTGTGTGAAAGCCTGCTTACGCTCAACGTACCAATTTTTGTTTGAAAATTGTTACGAGCTTTACTCCCGAGAATTCCAAGTAGGTTTATTGTGGATCACTCGTAATGTGCATTTCAGAATTTGTGTCAAAATATATTTTCCATAATTTAGGTTGATCCAAACGAGCCAAAACGTGAACCTGATGACAATGGACCAAGACTAGATAGTGTTGAATTTTGGCACAAACTGATAGGTTGGTCAGATTTATTGTGTGACGCTCAAAAATCAACAAATAAAATACTAAAAAACGCATTTATATATTTCAGGTTTACTTGTTAGCGTAATAGAAGAAGACAAAAATAGTTATGCCCCGGTTCTAAACCAATTCCCTCAAGAACTTAATATCGGCCAAGTACGTATATATTTTTTTTTACTATTTTTTAACAACTAGTGCGATGGAAATTAAGAATAAAATATTGGGTCTGCCGTGGGTAGCATCCGTTATGTTAAGCCAAGTTCAAGTTACATGGTTGAATAAACCTAGAAAAACAAACAGCTTGTTGAGCTGGGCAACTTTTTTTAATGGATGGACTTTGAGTAAGCCTTGATTGAGAAAAGCAATAAATAAAACGTCAAGCAATGGGTGGATTTTGTCATCTGTATGTTGCAGGACAAGTCTTTGTACTTATAATATGTTTATCAGTTGACATTTGAGATTAAGATTTTACTGTAAATCCGACTGTAATTAAATGAATTACAAACGTGATCATTGATAATTGTTTCCTTTACAAGCTTGACTTTTTTCAAGAAAGATGTACATACCTATGCATGTACATGTGGTCAAGAATTCAAGGTGTTGGTTAGAGCTAAACTACTTGCTACTCTTGAAAATTTCTGAACTTGGGGAATCTGAATGAAGGCTGAAATGAATTTTGAGCATTGTATGCAAATAAGCTATGTTAACGGATCCAGATGTTGGTTTTGATTGTGAGACGATGAAATAAAATCTAACGATGTCATAAATGCATGAATTATTCTCTTTCCTATGTAGCTTTCCGCAGCAACAATGTGGAGTTTATTTGCGGTGGACATGAAATATGCACTAGAAGAACATGAGCAGCACCGCTTATGCAAGTCGTCGGCTTACATGAATCTTCATTTCAAAGTTAAATGGTTGTATAACAACTATGTCAAAGAAGTTCCTCCATACAAAGGATCCGTGCCAGAGTACCCTGCGTAAGTCGTTTGGAGAATGCAATCTTGAATATTTGTTCAATTAAACATCCTCCATACTATATAAAATTGCCTATTCCTTAACACTATGCCTTCCATAATCATTCATGCTTACTTTCTCCGTCAGGTGGTTCGAACCTTTTGTTATGCAATGGTTGAACGAGAATGATGACGTCTCGTTAGAGTACTTGCATGGAGCATTTAAAAGAGACAAAAAGGATGGGGTGAGGAATCATTATAAATAGATTTATCTGACATTAATGCTCTACTTATTTATTTCTAATTATCCAACAGTTCCAAAAAAGCAGCGAGCATGCGTAAGTATACACATACTTAAATTCATCGATAGAAAAATAGGAAAAGGTTATGCTAAATTGTATTTCTTATTTTCAGCTTATTTTCCGTGTCCGTCGTTGATGTGGTAAATTTACAGCACAACTTTCAACTATTTATTTATTCCTTCAATGTATCGATACTCACAAATTTTTCCCACTTATACAGTTTACTCAGCTTACCCAGTGTTTCGATGTCGTTTCGAAGTTGGAATGTCCGGTAAGTGATTTTATTGATCACTGATTCATATTTCATATAACATAATATTCAAATTTAACAATTATTATCTCAATTATTGTTAGTAATTGTCCTACCCTAAGGATGCTCATGGAAGAGAAATTTCGTGTGTGACAATGTCATTCTAATTGTTTCCTTACAGGATCCTGATATTTGGAAGCGGTACATGAAGCGGTTTGGGAAGACCATTGTGAAAGTCTTGATAGCATATGCAGATATTGTGAAGCAAGAATTTCCCCAGCACACAAAGGATGAACGAGTGGTAAATTATATTTTATTAAAACATAAGAATATGTTTTTAAGGACTTTTACTAACAAAATTAACTCTCTCATTGTTGCAGGCGTGCATACTAATGAACAACATCCAGCAGCTTCGTGTCCAGTTAGAAAAATTGTTCGAGGCGATGGGCGGAGAAAAGTTAGAGGAGGACGCAGCTAATATTCTCAAAGATTTACAATCACAACTCAACAATGTCTTGGACGATTTGGCATTACAATTCACGGATAGGTATGCATGACTATGACATCTTTTTAAATTAAATTATTGGACAAGTGGAGTCCCCAATTTGACTTGGTACATTGTATTGCCAGACTTTTGGTTTTCAAATAACTTTCTGAAGTACACCACAGAATGGAATTTTCCATTTCCAGTGTTTTTGCCATTCAGCTTAATTTAGTTTTACTTTAGTAAAAGGAGTGCCGTATTATTTCAGACCCAATTGTCATGTTCAAAAAATTGCTTGGGGCACTGGCGCACGAATATCTTGGTGAACAAAATTGAGATTTGACGACTAAGCAAGCACGACTCTAGAATAATATGAGAACGCTAATGAAGTTAGTACCAAGTTAATGAGTAGTTGAGATTCCATTTTTTGTGTAATGTGGTTTTCTCTCCCCTTTGTTCATGGATTTAAAAAAATGTAAATGTACGTCTCCAAGTTTCACTAATGCATGTCAAGATATTTCGTGCCAGGTTTTGGTTGAATTATGTGTTGAATACTATTCAAGAAACCATCACATACTTCCAACCGCAACTTTCAACAAGTTCTTAACGTGCCATAAAGAACAAAGCAAAAGAAGAAAAGAAAATAAACTCAATCATCCCTACCACGCACTAATACTAATATCCATTTTTAAAATGATGGATGATATGTTATTTATTTTGTGGTTGCTTTTATTTACAGTCTTGAAGGACGCATCACTGATAGTGTGAAGCAATTGGGTGACTTATTACTTGTTGTGAAGGTAAATATGTACATATATATATACTTTAATTTGGGGAATCCACACTTTAATTGCAATAGATTATTTGTATAAAATGTTAACAAAAACAAGTCTCATCGTGCAACAGTGCATTTTTTAAATGCAAATGATGAAATCAGGGATCAAATAAATGAAATATGCAAATGATAAAACTTTATTTTTTCAGGGACAAGGACAAGTTTCCATGTCTGGTAAGAAACCAAGCTTTTACTTGATGAAGATTTCATTACTAGCCACTCCCACAAGAGTATTGTCCAAGTCTCCTTATGCTGCCCCATGCACCTGATTTGTGTATAAATATGGTTAAAACATCCAACTCTTAACTACGTGTGGTAAATATAAATAGTAGGCCCTTATAGAAAGTTCATTTTCTGGCTTCCGTGCAATTTAGATTTTAATTAGTATTCAAGGTGAAAGTACTCAAAGCACAAAGAATGTTTAATATTTTGTCACTACTACGAGTGTTTGCATGTCAATAAAAATATTTGAGACGGATGTGGGCTTCCTTGTGTAAATTCCATGTATTTCGCCGTTCCAGGCTATCGGAATTTATACAAACATAATTGAATCCAATTCCCCATTCTTTTGTACCATTTCAACAATGATTTGAGATTCTAAGAGATCTAATCTAAGAGATTTGGGCCATCATGTCTACAACATGACCAGAGGAAAGAATTATAGTAGTAGTGACTAATGAGATCAGTAGTACTTACTTACATACAATCTGTGAATACGAACAGTGAAGAAACCTATCGTCATCACACAACTGAACATGCATATTTAACCTTAACCTTATAGACATGACGGTTAATTGTCATATTTACATTACAGTATTCATATTTTGAAAGCGTTTTGCACTTTTTACAGCAACAAGAAATCAAGTCGCAGCCGAAGCTGATGAAGTCCTTCGACCACTAATGGACCTTCTCGATGGTAAGTTAAAGTTTTGGCAATTCACATCACATTCTGCTGAGTGATACCTAAATGCACCTCAAACTGCAATACCAATTTCATACATAGACCCATCATTTATGTTAACCTCAAAACTAAAAAAAACAGGTTCATAGTTTTAGAGAAAAGTAAAATACAAATTTTTTCGAGATTTACGACATAATTAATTGCACAATTTTAAGCACATTCCGTCCGAAAAGAAGGGATGCCTATATAAACTGTCTCGCTTTCCATCGTAAATTTATGTGGTTTCATCAATATTTCTGCATGCTGTGCAAAGTGTCCAAACAGGAGAATATAATAATAATTCAAGATTCGAAATGGACTTTCAACCAGTCACTACTCTTCAACTCTGGTCATAACGTTTTTACAATGCAGATATTACCACCACTCATCTCCATATGTACCATACACCTGAGGATTCAGTTGAGATTGCATTTGACCCGTCGTAGTCTAAAATACATGAGTCTCGATTGTGTAATGTTTTAAACTAGATGTTTTAAAATACAAGAACATTTATTTGCCTTTTTATTATCCTTGTACACATGCATGTAATTGTGTAAATGGTGGTAAAAGCTGAGGAAATGTGAAAAATTTGAAATTTGAGTAAACGAGCAAAGTCAGTTTTTTAAAGACAGTCAACTTGGTTTGTAAAGTTGTGAATCAGACTACGTGACTGGTACGGTGAACTGGGACTCTCCGATAGGTTTATTTACAGTGCAATAAATAAAAGTCGAAACTTTGATGTTTTGGGACCTGGGACTTGGGCTCGGCACATGACTGTCATCTGCAATAGGATATGAAGGGATGGTGAACCTCATAACTTGGTTATTCTGGAGATGCCACAATTTTTTCCTAGATTCCAACCACACACGGTCGTTTGTTTTCCTCGTCGCCACTTTTCAACATTTATAATTAAACGTGGGGTTACAACTACTGCTGCTACCCTGGTTTGTTACCTACACGGAGGGTAGAAGACCTTTCCCCTCTGAATTCCTCATTGACAGTCCCATTTTTCACTAGTGCTTGTTAACTCAAGTGACATTGCATCACATGCATATATGTACTAAGCACTTGGGAGTAAGACATGGTGATCAGTAGGCCATACTTATGCCTATTTATGTAATATATAGCCAACAATCAAGTCGAAATGAGGAATTTAGATAGTTATCTTGTCATTGAGTCATTTATTCGACCATTTCTGAGATCTACGACCCATGATACACATTACTCAAAATAGAAATATAGTTGGGTGCATTTTATTAATGCGATTGTTGTGTCATTGTTATTTTCCACAGGATCTCTGTCCCTGTACGCACAATCATGTGAAAAGACTGTTCTCAAGCGGCTGCTCAAAGAACTTTGGAAAATTGTTATGAGAATCCTGGAGAAGCAAGTTGTCCTGCCGCCCATTACTGATAAAAGCGTACGTACACTTTATAATTTTACTTACCTAGACCTTTACCTACGAGCCTTGATTACTAAATGTAATATCAAATTTGTTCTGCTTATAAATAAGTGTATTTAGTTTCAAACAAGCCGATTTTCTTGGTTCATCTATTTGACCATTACTCCACATTATGTTCATCTCAAAAAACTTGTGTTCTTATTTATTTCTTCTGATTTCTTAACTGTTTTAAATAACAAGCATATTTAAATTGTGAATCTACCATCCATCCCATTGAGGGATGGACATCAAGCTGTGTTAGTAACTTTATGTTTTTTGTCACTCTTGATGTGATTAGCTTATTAAAGTCTCTCTTGAAATCTTGCTTTCTTAATAGAGATATAAAAATGCTACTCACCATTTTACAGATGCTACTAAAAAATCTGACCAGCAATGCTAAGAAAATGATGGAGATGCCAAATACTACTGCAACAATGGAAAACATGGGAAAGATTTTTCAAAAGAAACATGATGTCAAATCAGCAATTACGGGTGTTATGGTAAGAATAAAGTTGTGTTATTTCATGACCATTATAAATTTGCAGTGTTAGCTTGCCTAAAACTATTTAGCCTACGATTACTTTTATACATATGTATGCATATGTATGTATGTATATTTGTTCATGTAAATATTTTAGGAGTTGGAGAAGAACTTGTCCCCAAAACAATGCGCAGTCCTGGAAGTGGCTTTGGACACTATCAAACAGTATTTCCATGCTGGTATGTTAAATAAGAATTTGTTTACCAGAAACTGTTGTGATCAGGGTCATTAGTTTGGTTTAAAAACCTCTTAATCCAACAATTTTAAACATTTCTCTCAATTATAATCTTAGGTGGTAACGGATTGAAAAAGACGTTTTTAGAAAAATCTGCAGAACTCCAGTCACTTCGCTATGCCCTTTCTTTGTACACACAAACAACCGATGCCCTGATCAAGACTTTCGTCACCTCACAAACTGCTCAAGGTAATGCATTCGAGTTTTACCGATAGCATCACCGAAATTGACCATGAAATTATTGCATTGCCATTCACACACCTTTCAGTACCAGTTTTTACCATTTGAGTGTGAAGTCGTAGCATGCGTATAAATATGAATGAGTCGTCGTTGTATTTTTGACCATGTTGTTGTTGTGTGTTGGCACGTTTTTTTTAAGTTGGGTCCAAAATATAAATCGAGGTGAAATAACTAATTATTTAACAAAATAATAATATTTTTATACGCAGCGACTCACGTTGCATAATTTCTGCACCAGATGTAATATGAATAAGTACAAGTTTCCAAAATCAATGTTCGTTCGACTTGCAGCTCGTAAATAATTGACATTCATATTGTATGCATATCATGATTCGTGAGAACTGCCCTACAACCATTTATTACTGTCAGTCCCTTCGTCCATGCTCAAATCAAGTTCTCATAAAAATTCCAAAACACCTATTGTTGTTTTCAAATGTACGACTCGGTCTGACAAAATTGAAATGAATTAATTGCTGAGAGTTCGTGAGCTCAACTTCTTAGCCCGAGTCAGGCAGGGCTTGTGTACCCGTCATAGTCAGTGAAATCATATTTCAGTGTTATCCAGATTAGTACGATAAGTTGGGCAAAAATCTGTAAAAGAAGGAATTCCCAATATTATGACTCGAAACAATTATCAATGAATATTTTTACATTTGTCAGTAATCGATTTTGATGAATCGAATGGCTGAAGAATATTTTATATGCGTACTTGCTAATCTTGGATCTTGATTGGATTTTGGTAACATCAAACCGAATATGGAAAACGAGTTTCAAAGCCACAAAGATGAAAAAGGAATAATAATGGAGAAAATTGGAATCTCACAAACCACGCAGGTTTTCATTCGCATTTGAATGCGGTCGTTACTGAAACATTGCATAGGACGTCAAGCTGCACAATTCTTTTAAAGTTTTGTGACACAAGTTCTGGATACAACTTTTGACTGTGCATAACCCCCCGCAAGGTTGGTGTTGCTGGTCTAGTTTTATCCATCACCATAACCATATTTCATGACTGTTTGATATGAAACTCAAGTTTTAGGCATTTACATTTTTACTCATTTGGAAGGAATAACTTATGCATGTTCGGTATTAAAAAATCTGAATTATCGTCGAGTTGCACATATTCGAGTACCAGGATGCGAACGTATTTTATCATCGTCAAGAAAGTCCTGCATTCTAATAAATATTACACAACTCTGCGTGCAATATTTCCAAGACCTTGTTACACAAAACTACGGCACGTACTATTCCATTTTGGCCAATCAGGTTTAAGCAGAACAGAATTGGATTAGGTTCCACGAGGTTGTGATGAACATCATGTGTAAAGCTGACGATGATAGGAAGAAGGAATATCAAATTAATGAAAACAAAAGTGGAAAGTTTTCTCGTTTCTTTTTCTGTCGTGATGCAGACTCTGGCCATTTGCACACTTGTACACAGTACATTAATTTCGTTGGAATGAGCGAGAGGCGGAGGGGGGACGTGAACCAAGCCGAGTTTATTTAGTTAAATTTAGCAAAAGCATACAAGTTTTCGTAGGGGACGTAAAAGAAATGAAGAAGCAAATGGAGAAATACAGATAGATGGTGAAATTGAGTTAAATGAAAATGGAGTGTGTGTGAAGGAGGGGTTGGTTGGTACATGAAAAGTGCATCAGACACACTTCTCGACTCGTGCAATCATCGTCACCGTCTTCATGCGACCAGCCATATCAGCTTTCCTTCTACTAACGCACTCTAATAAACGGCCTTTGGATGTGGCCTGAGTGAGGCAACCGGGCTGACACTGACAAAAGAGTGTGAAATGTGAAATGTAAATGAGTCAGTGTCGGAGGAGAAGAAGACGATCTTCTTCTCAATTCCCGAGTTCAAGTTGGGCTTTCTAAGGAAAGCGTGAAGGGGATGAGAGCTTTCAATTGTCCGGTGGTCGTTCAAGCTCTGGATTTCATTGAACAAATGAAGGAATTGACAAAGCGTTGGACTGATTTCCTCTGCTTTGGATAAAAGTTTCTCTCAGCCTTTCAACTTTCTTTGATAATCTTTTCCAGAAATCTTGAGAAGACTCCTTCCAATTTAAAGAAACTCACTTTCCCCACTTGAGATCTTTTGTTAAGGTTAACATCTAATTCTCAATTTATTCCTTCAATCCTCGACCCCATTCTAACTAACTATATCCAAGTTCTATATGTCTTCCATGTATGTATGTATATGCATATAACGTGCCTCGTACATATAGGAATTTAGGTAATTTCTCTGTCTGATCCCAATCCATTTGCATCACTATTCTCACTTTTAAAACTTTTATCTTCAGATATGGTTTATCTCAATATGAGGTTTGTTTTAAATATTCTTCAGCATACCTGATTTTAGAAACTTGTACTTTACTGGCAAAGAATTGTAGTCTCGGCATTTGTATCCTCATTTTAACAGCAATACAACAAAAAATATTTAAAGTTTAATTGCTTAAGTGCACCAGCATTACTTGGATAAGTGACAACAAGGACCAATTTATCATTTCTGTTTTTTTCTTCGACAATGGTTCTGTAATCTCTTGTGAACTCTGTACTTTTGCGTATTTATTTGACTATGCTGTTGTTCATGTCTTTTCCACTCTTTGTCTATGTAGTCCCTCTGAACGACAAAAAGACGCTTGAAATGAGAGCTTTATCCTTTGACCGTGACGATGATTTGGGTGAGCCTGGGCTTGAAGATGTTCTCAAAGCCAAGAAGCCAAAAGACGTGCGAAAAGGTAATTTATTGTCTACTTTCTACCTCATCTACTATCTCAATTTCTTTTTCACTCCCTCTTTCTATCTGCGCTCTCATTTAGTTGTAATAACGTTTCCCATCATCGACGATTATTAGTGGTCATCTGTACTTACATAATAAATATTTGTAAATGTGCGTCAGTTGCACGAGCTTACACAGGACGGGTTGATTGCATGCAATTATTGGCTTCGCATGATTGTAGTTTAATATTTATTATTGATAAAAATTGGCATAAATATATATAGATAAGTACATAAACGTCAAGTAGCATCGCGTTATTTATATCTTAAATTATATATTTATTTACGCGAAACTCACCCAAAATTCTTGAATATAACGCAAAAACAGTTCATTTATTTTTCGTTATAAACTAATAATATTTATTCTGTGCTATTCTCCTTACAAGCCTTGAGCTGAAAGTAAGAGAAACTAAGCAGGAAACGAAAGTGAGCAGACAGGAAATAAAATTCAAAACAGAGTTTTCCAGTAACTGTCAGTGTCTCATAGAAAAGTTGTGAAGCCGTCGGTGTCCGTTGATAAACTTTTTGGTTTTCAAACTTAACTCACTCAATGTTTAAATTTTAACTTTAGCAGATATGCCAAGCGTGGAAGAGGGAATTGTTGGAGAAGTTTCTATCCAAGTCGATCTGTTCACACACCCTGGCACCGGAGAGCATAAGATAACTGTCAAAGGTGAGTCCTCTCTTGCTGTACATTGTCTTTACATCATAAAATTGAAGCAGGTTTCGAGAGTAACATCGGCCCTTCCTTCCTAATTTCGACGCTCCCTGAATTTCATATACATTCTTCTTCCCCAGTAGCAGTTGGAAATACCAACTTTTGTGCTACAACAAACTAGTTTCCAGGCATAAAGTTTCGACAGCTTCAGAATGTTTTCAGAATTTTTGAGATGGTAGTGATACTGAAATCATAAAAGAATGAAACAGGATGAAAATAGTTCCGGCGTTAGCGAATCATTTCATACAATGTCCCTCGTGTCAAGAAGAGAATCATGGAATATTAACAGCAGAAAAGTTTTTACATGCATATGTACATATTACAAAATCTTCATTCTTCCATGAAAAGTGTACTCCTGCACAGTATTTATTCACTTAATTATCTTTATTGCCTCCTTAAAGAGCGATCAGGTCACATTATGCTCAAGTAGTTAATTAAAGTGCAGCACAATAATGTAAATTATATATTTTCGTACACGATTTAAAAAATATTGGCTAAATACCACAATGTTCATTGCACTGGATTTTTAACTAGTTCCAATAACATTCTGATATCTTAATCAAGTCTGTTCTATCTTTGATTTACGTTTTATAAATTTTCCCCCACGTGTATTTGATTCAAATTCGGCTGAAATATGTATCCGCAGGAGCCATTAAAAGTGGCATATGGGCGGAATCTTTATTTCAGACCAAAAGTAATTACAGGTTCGGATTAGTGTAAACCCATCACCTCTCACGCTGTTCGTGGACTCCATTCAAATGATGTCCTAATGAATTTGTTCACTCATATGCAAATCAGCCATGAATAAATGGAACATGCAGTCGAGGCTTCTTGCCAGCCAGCCTCCTTGCACTAATCAGATTGAGAGACCAGTTTGTAAATAAATGCTGGCTTAACCAAACCTTACGCCTGGTATTCGCCATGCCACGATGATAATAATGTGTCCCGCAGTGCTGGTAGAAAAATAGGAAAGAACTGGTTATAAATCGGTTGCCGTCTTTAACGACGTGGTGTTGATGATAGCGTGGACGATAACTGCTGAGGGACTGTGTGTGTTGGCTCTCACAACTTCATTGGGCTTTCTCCAGATTCATTCCTCCTCCATATCTGTCAAGTGAAGCCCTTCCTTGCAATAAACCCAGATACAATATGGCCCTGCATTGCAGTGTTTTTTCTTCAGTAATCCATGCGCTCCCAAACCACAGCAGCTCAATAACACACTGTCGATAGAAAATGGAAATAAAAATGAAATTGATGAGGACGATCGTCAAGTGAAGTCGATGATTAAATATTATTGTCGCCTGCTTGCATTTTATTCCAGTTGTAGTAAAAAAAAAGTCGATTTTCTAATCCATTAATTTTGTCTGTCTTAACAGTTGTTGCTGCTAATGAGATCAAGTGGCCAGTGTCAAGTGGGATGTTTCGGCCGTTCGTCGAAACCAACCTTATTGGTCCCCACCTCGCTGACAAGAAAAGAAAACAAGCCACTAAATCCAAGTCTGGAACCTGGTCTCCAAAGTACAACGAGACATTCCACTTGTAAGTTCATCCCTCTGCTTCACTTTTTTAATTGTCTGCTTTCTTTTATCGTCCACATGCACGAACAATTGACGGCACATCGGGAGTGGTTTGGTAGCAGTTTTTCGCAATGTTGTTTCCACTTATGTTTGTGGTGTTGTGAAAATTACCAATTTTGTTTTAGGTTAATAGTCACTACTTTCACCATTTTCGCTAAATGTTATATTCACTCCCGACATTTACAAAATGCCTCCCTTGTTAAATTCCTCCTTTTTCTAGTATGTTCTCAACATATTTTTGTACATCAAGATACAAAATTCAATGCAAATGGTCGATTCTGAAATTGTCAGAATAATGTTACAAAAAGAGTTAGCAATATTAAGCAAATGTTTAGCTGTTAGCTGCCTATGCAAGTAAATACATGGTTGACGTCTGTGCAAACCGGCTTCTTCTCAGATCACTAGTCCTTGGTACATATTGCACTTTGTAGAGTAGTGGATAGAAGCGAAACTTGTAGGAGGTTCAAGTGCCAATGAGATTGAAAAGGAGCAAGTGGGGTGATGGATTATTCAATTAATTTAATTGCGAGGGTGATGTTGAGTGAACTTTAATGTCTTCACAAAATATTTCGCCGCCAGGAATGTAGAATTTCTTGAATATCTGGCGGTGCTGCAGCAATTGAAGGACAGGAAATTCATTTATATATGAAATATGCATACTGCTGCTTATGTACATTCTATTCTGTAGTGCTTGTAAATTATGGCAACTTTCAAGTTATAGTTTTTATTATGATTTAATTATGTGTTTTAATTTACTTGTGTAATCATCAATGTAACCATTCATGTTTTCAGTTATATAGTTTAAAAATCCTAATTTTATCATGCACAACACTTTTAATTTTAAATTGCAGCATTGTTGGGAACGAGGAACACCTTGACTGCTTCGAACTTCATATATGCGTCAAGGATTATTGTTTTGCTCGAGAGGACAGACTTGTTGGAGTGGCCGTCATGCAGCTTCGGGATATCATGGACCAGGTATAATTACTTAATTTACTTGTGCTGTGATCTGCAAAAGCTAATGACGACGGTACGATGCGATACTACTTGATTTAATAAATACTACTTGATTTCATCGATCTAGGGTTCATGTGCCTGCTGGCTTTCCCTGGGCAAGCGCATCGCAATGGACGAAACCGGATGGACGATTCTACGGATTTTGGCACAAAGAAATAATGACGAAGTAGCAAAGGAGTTTGTTAAGCTTAAATCAGAAGTGAGACCAGAAGATCCACTTATTACAAGCCAAAGTTGAGATGCCACCATTTCTATTACCATCCCCCCTCCTTCTCTGCATATACGTAATCATGGCTGAAAACAGAAATATTCACAAGAAATTGTAATACCGAAACTCGTCATCGTTTCCCAAAGTTAAATAATTTCCAACTTGTTTGGATTACTTCTACTTCATTAAAAAAACTTGCGAGGATCATCTTTGCGTGTCATCAAGTTTGAGATTTTGCTGTGCACAAATAAACTCGAAAACTAATCAAGTTGCATTCGACTGCAAGTCCTGAGGAAACCCGTCCAAAGAAAGAGCCAGAGGAAAACCTATCTCAGCCACCTGCCTGTTGTACAAAATGGCTAATTTGACGCCAGGCTTTGCTGCCTAATAAGCAGTCTCGGTAGGTGAAATAACTTGATAAGTTAGTTAGCTGTTCATCCTATAAAGTTTCAAGGTACGAGTCAATTAGTGACGAAGATTGAAAGAGTTATGGATTATTTCCTGTGCTATACCTGCTGCGTTGCGTTTGTATATTAAAATCCGTTCGTTTGATCATGACAAACTGCAAAATGTTTAAACTCACTGAGCAGCAACCACTTTGCTGCACAAGTCACGGCTGCACATAGACGAAAGAGTTATGAGGTTAATACCGCAGATGCTTTGCAACTGCTTTTTTTAAAGCAAAACATGCCGTCGTCGTGGACTCTTCTAATTCATAATTATATGGTTAGATGAAACTAGGCACGTAGTAGTTTGGCGAGGTGGATATTTTATTGAGATGTTCCCACATGCCGGGACATGCCAACTTGTTGTTGCATCATTATGTTAAAGTTTGTTAGTTTGTTGGTTCGAGAAGAACATTGGTCCGTCCTCTCCTACAACTCATACCCAACTACAATAAGTATAATGTGGCATTTCCTCCTCGTTTATTTTCTACACCTTTTCAAATTGTTAGACCAACCCAGGCAGGCGAGTGAGTAGGCAAGGAATTCGAAGGACGCCAAGGGCTGATGTGTGCATGTTCTTGGTTGGCAGAGGCTGGTGTTTTTAGAGATCCAACGCGGGTGAACTCATCATTTTTCAACCAGACGAGAAAAATTCCTTAAATATCATCTACGTATAAATTCTTTAGTAATGCCTTGCATAATTTATACTCCATCCTAACAAACCAACCACAAAAGTCCTTTCACAACTCGTATGTCAGTAATAACCAACCAACCAATTCTGTTTCATTTATGTAGTTTGACGAACTGGCTGACAACTCAATCTGCGTTGAGACGTTGAAAGAGAGTCATTATTTCGTTACCTTCTCATTATCTGCGGTAACTTTTTTCCTTCATTTGGAACAAGGTATGACTAACTCTTACTGCCAACTGATAGGGATATGTATGAATAATTCAGTGTCATAGATGACGCCCGTCTAATACATAAGAGGCTGTTTCATTCCATATTTCATAATAATTATTAGATTCTAAATATTCGAACCATACATATATTTATTTATTTTGTATCATTTTTGTAGTTTTCTGAAACTCAATTAGCACATTTTGCGCATTCAAATGTGTAATTCTACATATGCAGATGGTTGTAATAAGCGAATTGTGAAATCCCAGTTCCAGTTCCTCACATAATTCTGATTCCTGGAAACACGTTCATATTGTGCTATATGAATGAAGAAATATGGACGTTGAGTTTAGCCAACATTTTTTGCTTGACATTTTAACATTAATTCTTTATGAAGATAAAGGAATTTTTTTCTTGTTTGGCATGGAATTCACTTACTTTTCTCCTGTTCTCCTTACTCGTTTGTGTGTGGCTGTAGTAAAGTCATGCAATGTTGCTGATATGCGTCCCAGAAAGATTATTCTCGTCTTTGACAGAGTAAACTATGCATATGAAACAGAGATTTATGAATGTGACAAAATTACTTCAATAATAAATCATGTTGTCTGCACTGCAGTATTGTTCTTATGACCAAGAAGGGCGACAAGAGATACATGGAACGAAATACATATACTTCAAAAGTTTGCATATTCCGAGTATTTTAAGGAGTATGAAAGCGTCTCCGTTAACCCCAATCCAAAATTCTGGAACAGATACTGAGTTCATTTAGCTTCATTGTTCAACCCCTTAAGTCGATTATGTGCTAGCACAAGCTCAAATAATAGAATTAAGAATATATAGAATTAAATAAGAAATTAACAATTAAACTCAAAATTAGGTTCGGGTTACAAAACTTGTAAATGCTCCTCAAATGCTGCAGCTTGTGTGTCGTCCAAATGATTCATAACCGGATCATTTGTTACATTATGTATTTGACAGGATTATTACAACAATGTTTTTATTCAGCAGGAAAATCAAAAGAGTGAGAAAGGATGCAACCTGCACCAGACGTAGCAGATCGTTTGTCTTGTATGGCGTGGAAGGAGGAAGAAGATGAAAGTCTTCATCACAAAGCAGGTGGGAATAAAAGAGGTGGAAATATCATTTGGAAAGACAGGTAGACAAGTTGGTGCAGCACCACGTATAAAAGTGATGAGATGAACCGACGGACCGTCAGGAAACAGCAGGGCACACATCTTCACACCTAAACTACCGTCTTTCTTGGTGTGTAAAGAAAAGTGGAATGTGAATATGTGATGGTGCTTACAAGTCGGCCATCGCATACCAGTCAAATTTAAATCCTCTCCCTTCTTCACTCGACGCACTTTAGAGGTCACTTTAATCCGAAATGAATACTTTTAAGCTAATCCAGCAGTATGTTCGGATCCGAATTAATTCACGACTCTTTCTTCAATTCCTTGACCATGATTGCAATCACACGAGACAGGTTTTCATCGGCAGACAGACTTAAGCAAAGAAAACAATTTTTGGTTGAATGGTCACATGGACGGACGTATTCACTTGTCGACGTTGTCAACTGGCATGATGTTTTCCAAGTACAAGTAAGCCTGACAGCCACATGAAACGCGACATGAAAACATTGACAGACAAGACGTGGAATATGATGAACTTGAAAAATATATACACATATACATACAACAATGCTATATGGGGATGTACATATATGGATAAGGAATGAATACATCATTAACTTTTTAAAACCCGAATATACAAGAACTTATTCTGCCCAAATCGAAAACCATGAAATCAGAAAATGGTATTACTCGGGTATGAATTGACGATAATCTGACTTGAATTTGGTAACCCCATGCAAAAAAATTAAATGTTCAAATGCACCATAAAATATACAAGTTCCAATGTGACTCGATTACTTGAAAAATAGAGATAATCGCAACTGGCCTACCCTAATACAAAACTGATTTATTATTAAGATGTTGACTCATTAAACATAATTAGAGATAAGTCATAACATTAAAGTATTATGAGATTTATATCATAACATTAGAGCCATAATACGTGGGACAAATTATACGTATGTGTGTATGTACTTCGCAAAGTTTAAGAGTATTAAAGTTATGAATATATCATGGCGATAATGCACGAGAAATAATACGATAAATTTTCATTGTCAGTTTTTCTTGATAATCTCGTAAGACGAACGTATAAATTTCGTCGTCAGATGTTGTCCGATCCCTGATTTCATATTTTTGATGAACGTACATAAATTGTTTTGTACTAGGTCAGCGTATAGCGTACATAATTATAATTAATTATGTTAAGACTTCTCAATCTGAAGTAGAAAGACATTTTTCGTGGAATACTGTAAAATAGGTATGAAATAACTTTGCATACATATCTTGCATCAATAATAAGCTTCTGCAAATATTATGGTCGTTATAACGCGAAGAGAGTGTTCATGTTGCGCTTTTAAGAACTCGAATGTTTTACCAAAATCTCCAATAATTTGTACTTGCTCTCATAATTTTAGCTTCTAGCATAAGGAAAGGACTTATCGCTGCACTTTTTTATAATTGATATGCTGCACACTAATACACGCGTTACTCTTCCTCCATTACGACGTAATGTGCATTATTACGAATATTTTGTTCAGATTCCGTATTCCTCATCCATTCCACATCCTCGACCTCAAAAATAGAAAATGTCCATAATATTTTTGAACAATAAAAAATTATTACCCATTTGAAACTTAAATTTCAACAAATTTGTCATTTTGAAAGGCAAATTTACGTGGCTTATTAAGTACCATTTTTGAAAATTTTGCTACTGGATCAGTTGTGAAGAATTGTGTTAAAATAGAGATGCTGACCAGGAATTTACCAAAGTTTGCAGAAGCTTTAGCCTGAAAATGATAATAATGCACCTGATGAAATAAGCTACCTAGAGGAGCAACTAATAATTTATTTCGTCTCGAGTAATTAGTTGGACCAGATATTAATTAATTAATTTATACAACCACCTCTCTCACCTGTATAAACGTAATTTTACAGCAGTACCCTCTAAATAAGTAGAATTGCACGGTGCTACCTACCACCATTTTGTGAGACGCAGAATATTTACACATATGATATGCTGGCATAAATGAAACGGAGGTGCTTGTTTATAACTTTGGAAGGTGCAAGTTCAATAATGTCAGAGGGAGGTTCTTCGCATACCGGCCGCACTTTTAATATACATAAATCTATATGTACATATGCGTACGTAACTACTTTACAGTAAACCAATATGTAACATAACCGTTTAAGCCGTTCTATTATTACATGAAGAAACAATCATTTATACAATCACAACCCTGATCGAATTTCAAAATATATCTTTTTAAACAAGTGATTTTAATCTTATGCCTGTTATGTTGTTGTAAGTAAAAAAAAAATGAATAATCGAATAACCCTGCTTATTTTTATCAAGACTAATGAGACTTATAAAGTTGTTCCATATTTCACATATCCTCAATCATTTCCGGTCTTCGCAACCCTAACCTTTGGTTTTCAGGTGGAACGTTGCCACACAAAGCATTTTACCGAACCGTGATTTTGTACTTGTGTCATGTATACCGTCATACTATTTCAATACAATTTTTACATTTTGAAATTGAAAAATAATTAGTTGTTTTGAAGAGTCGACGAATATGTAACTCTGGAATTGAGAAACGAACGTTTATATTAATTGTATTATCGTTTGAAAAAAAATTATATCGTTGTATTAAACCGATGAAAGACCTATATACCTTCAACACTCATTTTAAAATTATATGTACTGTCAAAATTCCTAATAATTGTAATAAACTAATGTTACTTATTGATACTTTTAAATAGGTTACTGTTTGACTTAGGAAATGTTAATAACGCTAAGATTACCTATTGTACAAGTTACTTAAACTTAAATTTTCGAAACTGTGCTAAATCATTCGCAGGAGAGTATCTTATAAATCAATAAAACGGAGATTGATGACTAACTTTACTATAATCGTTTCCTTTTTCTCATCACAACTTGTATTTTTATCATTAATCAAGGATTAATTTACTCACTCATGTCCGCTATTGTGGACACAGTGGAGGTTTTTTAACAGATTACAGGCAACATCCCGAACATCAAGACTTGTTTTCGTTTTCAATTTATTTACTAAACTGGCCTATAAAACGCGCCAATTCCACGTCCAAATCTTAACTAAAAGTACGAGATAATAAAGTTGTCTTTTTAATGAGCAATAAAGAGGAGCGGAGTCATATATGATGTATTTAGTATGCACAGTGTACACATATAATTCGGCAGTGAGACAAGCATATCTGTTCTACACAAGCTCCAAGTCTCTGCATATGTACGATGGCAACTTTTCATGATCAGAAACCATGGCCAGTTTCTTTTCTTAACAAGTCCATCTTTGCCACCGTCACCGTCATCTGTCAACTTGGACAGGATAAAATGAAACCAAATTACAAAGTTGATTCAAAGTCATTTTCAACTCAGCATGGGATTTATTATTTTATTTTTCATCTCTTTTATGACCATGCACACTTTACATCCTCTCGAAGCAATGATTTCGAAATTTGCTTAAAAACTACACAGCGAGCGTATAGGAAAAGAAATAAAGGGAATGTGCATAGCGAAAGTTCGCTCATTAACTCAAGTTTTCACCACGAATATCTTGGACAAACGAAAATGTCTTCCCAATTTAAACTTTTCGTGCCGTTTTTGATCGATAAAAATTTACAATGGCTACATTTTCAGGAGACTACTTGTCAAGTTTCACTGTATTTGAAAATGGACCAAATTTTTCACCCAAAGTCTTTTTTCAGAGACAGACAATCCTAAATCCAGGCGAAATATTTTTAATACTTATTAGGTGTCCAAATCTTAAGAAATAAGAATGCGCAGATTTATTAGTTTACCATCTTTGGGCGCAATTGAATTTACAAACGGTTTTTTTCCTGAATTTTCAAAAATATGTAATATTTAAAAACTAGCCTAAAGGCACGACCACGTTTTCAACAAAATATACACGTATTATTTTTCTTGGCATTTATTATTTTATTGAGGATAGAGAATACGTATGATGTCCATTTTTCAGTGTTTCTCCATCACCTGGTTCTTATCTGATAAACGTGTCGTAAAGTTGTACAGTCTTCCAGATACAAGATAACACTTCTCATTATTCGATTATTGTTTAATGTCTTTTTATTGAAGGTAGAAAGAACTTGTTCCTCTGCTTGTACCCTTTGACCCAAAACCCGTGTGATTGCAGCCCAGAACCAAATCCAGAACCATGAGATTCTTCTGATGTGCATTACCAGATAAAGTTTTAAACTTTTCAAGACATTACCAATCTAGAAATTTTGCACCACTCGGCGCGCACTGCAAGTACAGAAGGAACCTTGAGCGGAAGAAGACGACTCCGGAAATTCCTATTGCGCGAGTTCTTTTCATACCAATGTTGCAGCAACATTGGTATGAAAAGAACTCGTTATGGCAGGAGGGACGGAGGGTAGGAAAATCACACAAAATCCCAGTTTGGTATGTACATATGCATAGCTTGAAGCTTTGGACCACCCCATTTCCCACACACAACTTGGACAATTTGGCTAGGTCTCTGATGTTTATTTTATTTCCGGAATATCATGCATGTATTCATGACGTTAGCTTTCTCAACCATTTGCCTCATAAGTGATCATCAAACTTTGGCCCATCTTGCCCACAAAAATTGGAGGTCAATTTGCATGCAATTCTACAAATGCTGCTGAAAATGAAGAAAAGTGAATTTCAAGTAGTTCCAGTCCTAATATAAAATGACCAGTACTGGAATAATCTTTACTGAGCTCGACTTCCGCTGTTTTTATTTATTACGTGTTCCGATAGCTGAATAACTTACAGAGTTGTACTTGTGGCGTTGCCAACATTCCAGAACATTTAATAATTTTTACCATACTATCTATGGGAACTTAAAAATAGAAAGACATGCTTACGTGAATTTTACCACGTAAAACAAGATAAATTGAGAGAAAAATAAAAAGTAAACATTTTTCAGATATATTAAACCAAATTGACTTACTTGTCAAAACCTTAATAATTTGTTTGACGTCTTTCGTTGTCTTTCAAATCTAATTTACGAATTGTGGACTCTTATTTCTACAATTCTAATTTTCTTGTTTGTAGGAAGGGTGGGACAAGACGTAGACATATACATACACCCAATTTTTCTTGATTTTCATTTTAATTAGATTCAAGCCCATTAGGTTGGATAATTGGGCAATCTCTCATCACCATTTTCATCCTCTCTTCTTCACATATTCATAAAATGACTGGTTAGATTAGGGGGGACGAGTTTATTTGAAAATGAGGCGTGCAGAGTTGTGGCTATGCAGAATATGAGCCCAAAAAAGAAGGCGATGAGATCTTGAATCTTCAGTGTTATGGGAATGGAAGGAGATGGGACAAGCCCTTTGGTTGTTTTTCTTCTTCAGCGGCAATAAAAGAACCCATGATAACACTAAGGCCCATAATAACACCAGCTTAGTTGGTTCACTGTTGCCCACAAATTCTAAATTCTGGCTCAACTTCCCAACGTCTCAAAATGGAAAAGGCAAGGCGCATCGCTTGTGGCTGAATTTCTGCGTAAAACTGAAACCAGAGTTGTGGGCCATTTTATAAAGCCATTTATCCATGATAATCGTCATCTCACCCTTCTTTTTACCATGCATGGCTAAACTTTACCTATCCTCTTTTTATCTTCATTATCTAGTTTTAATATCAATTGTTGATATTTTTCGGTAAAAATACGCAGTAAATACACTGTGTATACATATTTGTGCATCGAAATATAGAAATGCACTCATAATTTTAATACTAATAACGTGTATTTTATTTAAGCAATTTAAACAAACATGTATAGAAGTCATCTACTTCATTTTGCTCCTTTAGATAAGTAGAAAAAGAAGGAACAATGAACAATGTATGTAAATTCACTGTTAATGATGGAAACAATTATGACCTATGGTTTACGAAGGCGAAGGCTTCGATAAGAGTTAAAATTTAAACGCTCACGTTGCCAAACTTTGTCTACATATTTTAAAAGGTGACAATTCAAGTCAAATTGAAATACTTTGGCATGAGCCTTGTTCCTGTAATAAAACTAAAATGCTCAATATAAAATTCATAACCATCCGTTCAGAAATTTATTTGCAGAAACCCAACAACAATAAAGGGATGAAATATGAGCCAAATATTTAACCAAAATCTGCCCAATCTCATGCACTAAACATATTGTTAGTTGATATGAGATGAGAATTGTAAAAATGGCAGCGTGCCTCAGAGAGCAATAAACAATAAACACAATGGTGCAGAAGAATCCTTTACTTTTTTTACAAAATACGTACGTATTACACAATTTCTTACCATTTTTCTTTTCACACCGAGTTTGATTCTAACCAATACTTTTTTTACCCATTCGCTTTATTATTCTTGACAAGATAACACGAGATCTGGACTACTCGAAGGGGGGTGGCCAGAATAGACAGTAAAAAATTACTCAAGTTCTTTAGCTGGCATCATCAAAAATTTAGCATCGGACTTTTCAGGAAACGATAAAACTTTACATTAGATTAAACTTAAAAACAAGAATGTATGTGGCGTGATTCCGAAATAATAATAACATGAGCGTGCAGAGAAAAGGAGAAGACAGGGCGACAGTTTCAGGACTCTGCAGCATTTTATGAAGTAGTAGAACGAAAAGAATTCATAGTTCACTGTTGCTGCAGCAGAGGCAGTTTGAGAATATTAATGGACGGCAAAAATCCTGCAGAGACTTTGCTGTTGAGGGCGGAGCGGAACGAATTATTTATTACAGCTTTAAGTCTTTAGCAAAGGTCATAGTCATATTTGATTCACGAAATTAAATTTGTCTTATGTACACTTTGTTTGACTTTCATTTCAGCCTAATATATAGCTCCTCCGCACCACTTATGAGTGCATGCATGAGGAACAAGAAAGTTCATTCGCCCGGCACTAATGCAAAATGTTTGGTTTTTGTGTGTCTAACCAATAATTTTGAAAGAAAATAGTGAGACAATCAGAGAACACGGCTTGTACATACTTCCTCCCTGTTTAATACCCTCTCTGTACAAGACATCATTACGTAATTCACCGTGGTGGTAAAATAAGTGAGTTATTTCTTTATTAATGACTCTGCATTCCACAATCATAAAATGGAATTGGGATCAAAGGTAGCATTATACAATCGCGCTTAACTTTTGAAGGAAAAAGAAATTGTACTCGCGTCATGTGAAACGTATATACGGTAATTATGGTCCAGAATTCGCACATTTAAACAGTGCGAATTTTTGTTCTTCAACTCACGATCTCGGGCTAAACACGCTAACAATTTGTGCCATTATTAAGAAGGCAGGACAAGAAGAGTTGTTGTGATCTGTTGGTTGGGCCCAATTCTGCTTGAGGCACAAAACACATGGACCTGACTCCCAGTCTCTTTTCAGTCGTGGTGGAGTGCACATCAAGCGTTCCCTTTCTCACTCCGGGTCTCATTTTGTCTCAATTTCAAAGTCACTCTCTCTCTCTCTCTCTCATCCTGAGTGCTTTCTTATTCTAATGTTCAAGCATGTGATCAACACCGGCTAATTAAACGTTTCATTGAATCACAGTGAGCCGTATATAACCACACAACAGCGTTGAGTTGAAAAATAATACCTCCATTGTATGGTAATACTGGCCATAAAACTTATCCGGTCTCCATCAGCCTACGCCAAGTGTACACTCTATTCAACCAACAAGTTCGGAATTAAATGTGTAAATCGTGAACCTTCTTCTCAACTAGTGGAAATTTATTGACCGAATAAACACAATGCAACATTACCAACAAGTCAACTAAACTCACTTGGCATTTATAAAAAATCAAGCCAAATCTGTGGAATTTTAAACTAAACTTTACATTGTTTCAAGTACCATATACA